CCTCTCGGCCTCCTGCGAGAAGAAGTGACCAGGCATGATTACAAGAGGAAGGGCTCAACAATTACTTCAGAGAACCTACGAAGGAGGATCATTAAAAAACCTAATAAATGGAAAAAGATAATCCGAGAGGAAACAATTGAAGAGTGGAGACAGTGAGTGATGAGTCCGAAAGAGAGTACCTTAAGAAAATACCAATCTCGGTTACAAGCGAAATGGATCCTCCCGGACTAATGGGTTTCATAATTTCTCACGGAAAAAGGTTTTAGAGCTAAACTACATGACCTCAGACAGGACACAGATCCCCAATACCCCGCTTAATATATTCCGGAGACTGTTGAGAATGTGGTCACGGCCTGCACTGCTATTGATGGATTAAAATCCACATTGATGAGAAGTACGGAAAGTTACGTACGCACCGAGGAGGAGTTTCCTCGGTTGATGAGTGAGGAATGCTTCCCGTGGTTCAAAGACTTTATAAATGGCTGGAAGAAGGCGGCAGGTCCAGCTCACTTCAACCTCAGGGCTCGCATAAGGAGAAGATGACCAGTGCCAGGAATACCTCCGGATTCTTGAAGCCTGGCTTAATTAACTGAAGAATGGAAAAGAACTGTGCGCAGATCTGTGAATTCTGTATACTGTTATCATTACAGTAGTGTGATTGTCACTGGTATGTTTTATCCACACAAAAGGGATGACATTAATGTAACTATGTTTTGGGGGGTGGGTGCAGAGGTGAAATTATTCGGGATGCCACTGAAATGTTAAATAAAAACTTAGTAAAACAAATTTGAATCGCTTAAACACCATTTCATACAGGTAGTTAGTTTCTTTCTGTTTTTCCAAAGTAATTATCGTTATATATATATATATATATATATATATATATGAAAAAAAAGCTTGCAGGCTGGAGCCCTTCCCCCAAAATTAAATCCTGGATCCGCTAGTGGTCCAGCATTAATTAATTGAATTTCTTTTCTCAAAGGCTGGTTTGTGTTTATCATGCTTTCTAGTTACCAACATTACCTGTGATCATCATGATATAAATGGATGGCAGAATTAAAATAAGTTTTACTAAAAAACTTATCTTATTCTTATGTTTAATAAAGTAAATAAACAAATTATATTTACAAGAAATATGAAAAGAAATGTATATATATATATTTTTTTTTCATTCACTATTTTGTTTCTAATGATCTCTCGTTGTCGAGCTATGAATTTTTTTACTTTGCGAAACTAGATTATTTAAATTCTGTGGACCTTGAAACATGTATTTTCGTTGAATACACATATTCGATTTTTTTCACAATCGCAAATGCTTCTCCTAACTGTATATTTGAGGTATTAGATAAATGAAAGTAAATATTAAAAAAATACCTCTATCATAAGCCCCCGTTAAAACGTGGAGCTGGAGTGGACGGTCTCCTCCTCCTCTCTCCATGTACGCCACACCTCATTCATAGTTTACTCCACTTCCTCATTTCACGCGGATCTTTAAGGATTTCCTTCGCTGAGTCATCTTTAGTATCACAGACATGGGACACTCGGTGCCAAGTTTTTCAATGAGGCTTGTAAATAGATCTCGACCTGCCTCTGGGTCACCGAACCTATACCTCTAACCTAAGGTTCATTCAAACTTTGTAATTTAACAGTCACATACTGTTCTAATGAAGGAGCAAAGTTATCTCTACTTTCTTTTCTTGAAAAAATAAATAAATAAATAAATAGCCTGTTTTTTTATTTATTTTTTTTGGTCAGCTTCTGTTTTGAATTAAATAGTTTTCCAGTATCAATATGGGATTCCATTATGGGGTTCACCTTCGGGAAAAATATCAGGTATAGAACAACAAAAATATAAAGATTCTCAAAACCTAATCGAACATATCTCTGTCTATAGGCAACTGGGATTAAGATGGCATTCCCATGTAAGATTGAAATGGCGAAAAATTGCACCCCTTTGATCCTTCATAACTGATATTATACTATATCATTAGAATTGAGTTCAGCAAAACTAACACAATCCTGTCGTACCAAATTTTCCCAATTCATAACTCTTCGAAAATAATCAGGATTGTTTATGAAATTGAAATTATGGTAATACCATCTCCATCGAAGAAATAGATAATCCAAATCTTTATTTAAAAAATTTCACTCACACTAGTTTTTCCACAAACATTTATTAACAGAAGATGCTATCTAGGAAGATATTCTATTAAAACGAGATTAGAGTGCTACCAACGTATAAATCTGTATATGTAGATATATATAATGTTGAGACAGATATTTTATTGTTGAATCTATTATTTATACAAAAAAATTTTTTATTGATTTATATAATTTAACGTATATATATATATATATATTGATATAAATAAATTACAAGCGAACTTACTAACAAATTCTTAATTATTTTTCTTAAACATGGTTAGATTTTTGTTAAGAAATACATACTTAATAATTTACTATGTTGCCTGATATAATAAAATATCCGAAGTGTATAGTCTGTGGTGCAGACCACTTTTTATCAAATTATTAACATCCGTCTGAAACTTCGTGATTAGCTTCATTTCAACGTAACCTACAAACATTTTGTTTACGAAAACCCTTGCAATAGGTTTTTCAATCTGGAAGTCGGCAAACATTGTCTATTTAATTAGGCACTAAAAACCCAATCTATTTCCTAGGATCGTAAGATAACTCGAGCAAAAAATCGATAAAAAAGATGGTCTACAAAAATATTGAGCCGTTTAGCCTATATAACCTCGTTATTTTGACAATTAGGAGGTGTAAGTTACGCCAAACGGCTCGATATTTTTTTTTCGATTTTGTGCTCACATTATCTTACGATTGAAGTGGAAAGCAATTCGGTTTTCAGTACCTAATTAAATATACAATGTTTGCCGATCTCCAGATTGAAAACGCCACAATTCCGAGAATTTTTGTGTACAAAATATTTATAGGTTACGATGAGATTTACGAAGTTTAAGGCGGATGTTAATAATTTGATAAAAAAAGGTCTGTACCACGGACTAGTATACGTCCATTTTATATATATATATATATATATATATATATATATATATATATATATATAGTGATTTTCACTATAATTAATTCGTTGCTAGCAAAAAATTATTTTTATTAATCACTGTTGATTTCTACGTTCAAGTCGATTTGATACTTCAATGATAACCACTGTTGGATCCGTAAATGTTATAAATTTATCAAGTTTTTTATTATACAAGACAGTTCACAATTTTTTTCATGAGTTCAAGACCACAGAAAGACATCGATGATTTACTGAGACAACTGTTAAATACATAAATACATAAATACATTTCCTTTTATTGCCGCTCTGTAGTTTATTGTAAATAGTCACTCCGTGGTTGACTACTCTCAGTAGGCGCGACTACAAAAATAGCCCATAATGAATGAAGCTCCTAAATCCTCTTTCCTCCGGGTATAAATAGAATATCTATAAATTCGTCTATAAATATAAACGAATCTAGACACTGTAGCAGTTAGCTCTTGGAACATAAAATCTTAAAATGATATATAATATGACATGATATTTTATTAAACTTGAAACAGTAAAACTTCCTGCGGCGATGGAATATACTTTTTTTTGCAAAAATAATCTTCATTGGATGAGAACTTACAAAAATGTCTTTCTTGTAGCCATTCTTCTGAAAACAAAAAGGCATTCCAGCTCTTAATTGCTATTCCGAGGGTTGCAGTTTCTTTGGTTTTATAACCTGTTGTTCTTTTTCTTTTTTTAATGTAATTAAATGTTATTCTTCTGAGAAATTTCTGACATTGAATGGTGCAATGACCTCTGGTGCAAAGGGTTTATATTTCACATTGTAACTTTTCGTGCTTTCAGTACGTACACGTCTGATTCTCACATCTTATTTGTTCATTTGTACAAACGTATAGTCATTGTATTTTTTAAATGCCCATTTGTTTAAAATAACTATTTGGAATATTAGCATATCTTAGAAACCTTATAAGAAAGTATATAACTATCTTATCGATGCTAGAGCAACGTCATTACAGAGGATCCGTGATAATTCAGTCGTTGATAATTTCTCAGTATTAATTGATTATCTTTGTTGTTTGGTAAAATTTGACATTAATTCGTTCATTTTTATAAAATATAAATTTGACTTTTAAAATCGACGTATCAGGAATACAATCCTTTATTTGTTTTAAATGATTATGGACAATCATACCAACATGCTAATCATACTATGTTAGATTGAGTAATATAATGTAATAAAACCTAAATAATTAAGAAGTAATTTAATAATATAAGTGTAATGTCTGAGAAAATTAAATATAATATAGTTAATTTAGTATATATTCATTAAAACTCAGATAACATAATCCAATAATATTAATTGATGTCAAACCTGGAAAGCTATTCTAGCTTTGAAGTCAACTTAATATTATTAGTTAACTATGAACGTAAAACTTTTAACTACAAGAATGAAAAGTTTAAGGACTTAACATCTTCAATGCTCCATACTGCAATGTACTATATTCTTAGTTTTACAGTATTTTTATTATGTTTTTCCAACTATCGAAATAGGAATTTAATACACCAGAGGAAAGCAGCAATTAGCATATATAAGTTTATAATCAATTGAAATGCTACATAATTAATATAATTTCCTACATAATAGTAATGAGAGGATATTTTTAACAATTTAGTTATATATATATATATATTTAGTTATACACAACATTTTACGTATGAATCATGTAACAAATGTTTTCATTTCACTTTCATGCTTCATTTTAAGTATGTTTTGATCTTTATGGTGGTAACCATCAACTGAATATAAGCCATTTTCGATTTGCTTCTTATTCTATCGACTTCCTATGAAATTTAATTACCAATATTATCCAACGTAATGCCAAATAATCCACAAAGCTCAACAAATTATTAGCAGATATAGAATATTCCGTAGACTTTGAAAATACATTTGAATACTACTCACGTATATGGATTGGTAGGTCTGTCCGTAGAACTTTATCGGTACATCGAGACGTACTTCCTGGGAACTGTCTTCTCCCCTTGGAAGCTGGCCATCGAAGTCCGGACCGAACGGGTAGAGGGCTTCGGCTGCTGCAAGAAGTGGAAGAAGCCATAGGAGTCGGAAGGTCCCCATGGCGGCGTCGTTGCTGGGCGGCATCTGGGGTCACATCAGTTAGCTCCTACTCAGATAAGGCGGGCTTCCATCCCCTCTCTCTCCTTATCGATGTCACTACTGTCTGCCAATCGATGTATTCTACTAACCGATTCATTGGGGTATACAGTTTACAATACTACTATTTCTCATTCAGACTATAGATTCCAATGTTATCAATATTGTTTAGAACCTACTAAAGTGATAACCCAACAAACGAAAAAAAAAATTATTTTTATAATATATAGTACAGAGAGCATAGTAGATAGGGGGTAAGTAACTGACTTCTTTTGGTCAAGGTCCCGGGTTTGAGTGCGCCTGTGATGAGTAGCTATTTATTCTCTACCTCAGCCATGGATCGATCCTGGGTTTGGGATCCCCTCCTGGGGCACACCAAGCTTCTATAAAGCGAGTAATCCTAATTAAATAATTAATTAAGAGGGAAAACCTGGCTGTTGAATGTGATCTCGGCCCGATCATCAGCATACCCTGGCTAATGGCTTCAGCCGGAAAGCTCCTTCTAAATGGAAAAATATATTTCTTTTTCGTTGGTTGGTATTTCTTTATGTGTGATCTAAGCTAAATACAATTACAATACTTTCCTTTTTAAATTATAATAATTACACAGCTACTAAATATAAGCATATAAGCAAATATAAGAAATTTATTTCTAAAAGCATCATGTTTTCTGTATTGCATATACATGTACATCCATGAAGTGAAAACATCTTTAGGCTCATTTTATACTTTTGTTATGGAGAGTAATTAGATTGAGCAGTCAGATCTCCGTTCTGTAAAGTCGACTGGAGTCGACTAATTGAAGTGTTTTTGCATATGAACTAAAATATCTCAGAAACTAAAAATCGGACCTGCATAATGAAAGTGAGGGAAATGTTCAGCATTTCGTCCTCTCTGTAACGGGCTATTATTCAAAATTGTATCTTAACGCGACGCCGTGTTTGGGAGACTAGTCTCTCCTAGGTGACTAGTGTGGAGAATAGTGTCGAAAACTAAATGAAAATGAATTTTATTGAATATAAGGATTAAAACATCTCAGGAAATAAAAATTGGATCTACGTGCTGTATGGGAAATGATCAGTATTTTATCCTCTTTGCTGTTATTTATAATATACATTGCATATTATTAATCTCGTCTTGTTGATGTTTTCACTTCTATCGTGTGGTCTAAACCACAACCTGTAGTTTTTTTTTGTTTTTGTTTTTTTTTGTTATCTTTCTTCCTAACAATTACCGATTCTAAAAAAAATAAATAAATAAATAAAAGCTCCCAATATTAAATCTTTCGCCCTCAACAGCCTCACTTGACACTTATTAGTCTCGAAATATTATTACCTTACAAAGTACCGAACCCAAGACCCTTCATGGGTTGTAGTGATACAGATTCATGTGATTTTTATGTAATATATAGATTATAGGTTTGGATTAATCTGTTAAAAATCCGTATTTACGACTACGAGAGACCACTAGAAGTTCATTCTATTCAAGAAATCCAATCAAAATTTTTGTTAATTTCTATTTCTGTTTAATACTTGGAAAATACACACTACAGGAAAAACGATGGAAATAAACAGGACATTTTTAGTGAAAATGCCGTCCAGTTACTCCTTTGCCTTTCTGGACTAAGAGACAACAAACAAATAGATCCAACATTTTTCTTGCCATCATCAATTATGTGATTTACAATACTATTAAAGATTATAACATCGATTTATTGCCAAAATTCAGAGTATAAAATTAAAACATTAAGCACTTTCATAAATTTTAACAATAAATTGACGTTATATTTCTTAAATCTTGAACATAATATCAGAAAATATAATAGTATATTTTTACATATTTCTATTATACATCGTTTTCTCGTTTTTCCTATCTCCTCTGATATTCAGAATAGGGTACTTAAAAATAATATTTTATATCAACATGAAGTTTTTGCAAAGCATAATTCTATCCATTCTGTTAATAAAAGTTTCTTATATTAATACATTTAAAAACACTAAATATTAGGAGCACATCAAGAAACCGACGGTAGGTAAGAGTGAATAAAATAAAGGAATAAAAGTGTTATATACTATAATTTTCAATTTTAATAAATAGATAATTGTTTTTTTTATTTTCTTTAACTTTTCATCTAATTTAAAAAAATAAATAAATATCCCATTAATGAACAATCAAAATAATGTTTTTTATTTTAAAATTAAAAAAAGTGATAATACTAAATTATCATAAATTAAGGTTTAAAATCCCAAAAATACATATCACGAATAAAAAATATTTTATTATTGGAAAGTTGGTTAGGGTTTGCAGTCAGTGAGTTAACTTTATTGCATAGGTTATAATTATATAGACTGGTAAAATAACAGATATCCCTGCTAAAAATAATATAAATGATAAAATGTTGAATTACTCAGAACATTAAAGATTTTGTAATGTCTATGAACAATGTTTTTGATTTTCCCGAAAGTTGCGTAATTGGTAGATTTCATCAACAAGATAAAATGTGTTCTATTTCTTTATTTAAATATGGGCTAATTTGAAATTTTGTAGATGGGATTTTCAGAGAGATCATTTAGGCCCCCTTTGATGTACTCAAACGGTCTGCTTGATCTAGTTTTTTTAGTCACTCATTAGGGCTGAAAGTAATGTATATTTTTAGAAAATTTATAAACTAAGTTATTTTTCAGGATTTATTATTTTATTGTATTTCTATTAAAGTTGTTCTCTTGTTTCATCTTTGACACTTCCAAGCATCTTAAGTTCGAAGATTCAAGATCAGCATCATTGTCTTTCTCTGGCTATAATATGACCTAAATTTAAGGAAGATGACACTAAACCACAAATGCAGCCGAAAAGTTCAATTGGGCTACTAAATAATGTTTATTGATTAATAACCAATTCCTGTTCCAAAAACAGTCAGATACCAGCTAACCTTTAATGTAAAATTACATATTTCTTTATTTTATATTTTTTTTCAACAGAAAAACAGATTTTACTGTTAAGAAGTTTACTTTTTTTTTTTTTGTATTTTTTCTAAAGGGGTTTATTTATATTTTACCATTGTAAATAGTCTCAAGTATCTTAGTATGGTTTCGAGAGTTTTGTATATAGATTATTTTATTTTATTTTGTATATATTATGTATAACGAATTTTTTTTTGTTTTTTTACTGATTTATCTTTATCTTTACTTTTTATGTTTGTTTTTATCTGGCCAGATGTAAAATTTTAATCTGTACTTTTTTGTTATTCTGAAGGGACTTCGTTCCAGAATAAAATTATTTTCTATTCTAAATAGCCAAGCTAAGCAAATTACATTTTCAACAAAAGTCACTGGTCTTGCAAATTGTTAATGCATATTTTCTTTAAAAAAAATTAAATGTTCATATATTTCTAATTAATTTGTTCGTTTGTATTTATTATTATTTCGTGTTGTTTTCTTTTTTTAATTTATTAATATTAGTTAATTTATGATATTTTCATTATTTTTATTTATTAATTTGAAATCCTAAAACCCACCAATTTTTTCCTATGGTATATTTCTAAAGGTAATCCTCGGCCAAACAAATATTTTTGATTATTTGCTCCTCCCAGGTAACAAATTTTAAAAATATTAACGCGTGGAGATTAGTTTATATCAATCTAAAGACTTCCCAGAAGAGTCATGCGTAAAATCTAACAAATTATTTCGGTAGTTTATACTCGACCGAAAACTTTTTTTTATTGATGATATTTACAACTGTATTACAAATAAAAATACATTAAGTAAATGTGAATAAAAGAATATAATAACATGAAATCACTTGTTGAGAAACTACCCCCAAAGAGATCTCGAGGCCATCTTCTTTTCAGACGCCTAGGAGGGCCGAAAACTTAAAATACGAAAAATAAATTACCTCCCAAGCTTCACGAAAAAATGTTTTCACAGAAATTAATGAATTTCCTAGAAATTTATTTTCTAATAGCAAATCAAGTTTTCATTTATTTTCTAAACAAAGAGAAGAGAAATAAATCTGGCCTTACAGACGCAGTTGTACGCTTATTTTTTTATCATGAATGACTAAAAGGAAATTGCTTGTTATATCATTTCAATACGCCTGAGATCATATTAGATGGAATTTCGTAATAAAAAAGTTAAAACATGTGAATTCCCATAAAAAAACGGGTGATTCCACTTCTTAGAAAACATATGAATATTTATTCTTGTTTTCCAAGGAAAAAAAAGATAACATGGAGTCTACTTTAGGTGAGTTTAATTTTGTAATGAACATTTCAGTTGTAAAGCGTAGTCAGTTTTCAATTGCCAGAGGGAGCCTTCCTGAAGGGGGGCTCCCGCCACTTATTTGGAATAAAAAAAAAATATTAATTGTATAAGAATGATTAATTTTAGCCTATTTAAAAGCAAATAAATTGGAGACATAGTGTATGAAATAAAATTCAAATATTCCTTAATAGATAAATTTAATTTTTTGAGGAGGGGAATGATGTCACTGTCCCGGGAGAACCAAATGTCTAAAGCCACGACTGAATGTAGTTCTATACTTTTATTTCAAAAGTGATATAAATAAATTCGGAAAATGATACGATATAAAAGATTTTATGATTATCGATACAAAAACACCAATCCTTTTAGACAACAAATATAGTTATAACAAGCTCACAATTTTCTGATTTTATAAACGAAAAAATATTTAAAGTCTTATTTAAGTAAGGTTATAAAATGTCATATAATGAACTTTTTACAATGAACTGACGATACATTATCTTTTTAAATTATAATATGCAGCTACTAAATATAAGCAGGTATTTTATGAAATTTATCTCTAAAAGCATTATTGTTCTTGTAATACTTTCTTTTTTGTACGGCTTCAAGAACCAATTAGTTATACATCATTCCTATATATTGGTAAGATTTTTTTTTGTTTCTGACTAATTTTTAAATAAACCCCACCAAAAAAAAATTAAATCCAGGTTCCGCAAATGGTCTATATGTCATTTTGATTTAATTCAAATTTCCCCAGGTTTTTTTTTTTTTTTTCATTCCTTTTTAAGCTGGGTGGATTTTCAAAAATTGTTTTTCTACATAGATTTAATTTTTTCCTACATATTATAAAATAATGTTCAATCCTCTTAAAGTAGCTTATCATCTTGCGATTAGAGTCCATGACTTCCAGAAATGTTTAATGTGGTAATAAACTACAGAAGTGCCAATTAAGAAACATCATCTATGAAGTTAAGAAAACAAAAAGTAGGTGTTTCTTTTTATTGTCGGTATTCTTTCTTCTCGTCTATCCTTTCGTTCCGCTAATTCTGAATAAAAGTTAAGAGATTTTTTTTTATTTATTCTATAATTTTCCTATCATTGCTTTAATGATTTCTTAATTGTTTGAGTATTCTAGAGTCTTGGCGGTTACTTAAATGGATTGTCTCCGTTTCGGTTCATTAGAAGCTACATTTCACCTAATTGTATGATTTCATTAAAAACTTAATTGCAGTTACAATACTATATATATATATATATATATATATATGACAATGCATGATTATTGTATTTTTCCCAACTAAATTATCCTCTTTAATTTAAGATAATTCTTCGTAATGTAGTATCGAAGGTATAACATATATGTCAAGAAATACATATGTTATTAGGCAATGTCCTTTGATTACATACTACAACCGTTGATAGTATTGAAATCTATAGATTTATTTTAAATAATAAAGAGAAAAAGATTGAAGGTTGATGAAACTTCCTAAAGTGTGGTGCGATTTTGGACACAAGGTGTCTTAAATTAGTTTAGTTGTCTTTAATTGTTATAATTGTTGTTAATTGTTATTTAGTTGTCTTTAATCTTTAATTGTTGTTGTCTTTAATAATTAGTTTTCTGAAATAAATTGCAATTAGTTTATTTCAGCGTTGGTTACTAATCGTGAAACTCTCTTAAAAAAAAGCAAATTTGAAAAAAAATCCTATTAGTTACTTGAGTTGATTGGTGATTATTTAAATTCGTTATCGCGTCCCAGACAAGTTAAAAGTACCAAAGCTACCATTAGACCAAATCATCAGGACACATTTCTCTGAAGCTGTAAGCAACAAGGATGTACTTGTTATATGTCTTGGAAGATATGTCTAGATATGATCTCCTATCCATCAAAACAGAACATCTTCATTCATTACTTTGTTTCTTTTATTTGATTGATAAGCTTGCTTATCAAAATGTCTGTCGTCTGACGACCATTTTTTAAAACCTCCCCAAGGTTAACGAATTACCATTAAATTTCAGTATTTAAATGAATCTCTTGCTTTTATTGTGATCATTTAAACACTTTTTACCTAAAAAATTGTATATCATAAATAACAAAGCTTTGTTTAATTAACTTTTATTACTTGAATGATAAAATATTAAAATTTCTTTGATAAACAGTGCGAATTTCGAAAAGCCATATGTGTACATACATATATGCTGATAATAATTGTTACTTTTTTTAGCAATTTCCTGTCACTTTCTCTCTCTCTCTCTCTCTCTCTCTCTATATATATATATATATATATATATATATATATATATATATATATATATATATATATATATATAAATGAGAAGGAAGATTGTTAAAAAATGTTGCTATTAAAATCAAACAGTTTATTTTTACAGGAAAAGTCATGTAGTAACGGATACAGATAATAGTCACAAGTATTTCCAGTGAAGCGACCCAACTGCTGAAAATGTTTCTAGCCTCATAGAAGATTTTAATACTATTTTGATGGAAGTCCTAAGTAATTTATTATTTATTTATTCCAAACTGATCTTTTTTTTTCTTTGTTATCTTGGAAACTGCAAAGGTAGCCAAAATATGTTAAATTTCTAGATATTTTTAGCTAGGTTCTCTATTAAACTTCGTTTTCTATAAAAATCATACATCTTTGAGTTCACCAGAACTTTTCAAGTTTTTCATTATGTTCGATTTATATCCATTCCTATACTTTGATTAGAACATTTTTACAGAATATCATCAGGAAGATATAATCTCCGATCATTAAAATTACCGTAGATCATCTGCCATTTTGACATACTTAAAGGAAATTGCCACGCTTTGCATATTTTTTTTGCTTGTATCTACCCTAAAATTGCCATATATAAACAAAAAATATTTTTAAAAAAACCTCCGGAATTTCTTAAGACATTTTATCTATGGAATCTTCCCCCACAAACGGAATGTATTTTGTGTGCAAATTCTCCAGAAATAAGACTTTATCAGTGCCAACACATTACTTTTTGGTCCCTCATAATTACACAGTCGTGGGGCATCAATGGATGGTAATATTTTGGCGGTAGTTGGTTTTGTAGTCACATAGATAGTTGCATTACATTCCCAAGAAAAGAAGTGGTTTTGAAAATTAAGTGTGAAAATCCAAAATAATTTGCTAAGCAAAATTTTCCCAAAAGATTTCCTTAATTATTTGAGTTATGGCACCAATGCTTATTTGCATCTTCTTACATTAGAACATTCAATGCAACTCAAAAAATTTTGACTTTAAAATTTATCGATCTCGACAAAGAGATCGATATGAAAGTTTAAAATAAATTACTCAAAAATTTGTGTTTTTGCCATTCCCTATGGAAATATGAAGAAGATGTTAGTATCTTTTTTTTTCCTATCCACCCCTTCCTCGCCTATTTAGGCTAAACGGGAGTTATCCTGTACCAGGGTCCTGCAGGGGGAGAGGGTGGAGGAATTAATGCCAGAGTTAAAAGCTCCTCTGGCATCAGGACGCAAACTCATAATTATTTATTATCTAATAAACTTCGATTTCTCAATCTGTTTTTTTTGCACACACATTAGCTCGCTAGGCAAACCCTCCCTCTGAAGACGTTAGTCGCTGTTCATAGCACTGCTATTGTCAATACCATCACATTGATATCATCACTGACTATACTTTATTCATTTCAGTTTACATCATTCTGTGTAGCATACAGAGGACAAAAAAGAATACGGTCGATTTGTCTTAAAGTTACCGCAATTTTGGGGTTGTAGACCAAATTTCGAAAGGTTCAGCCTAGGCAAAAATATCCTACAAATTTAAAATTTTTGCTAACAGTAAATATAAGCAGGGGTGCCCAGAAGAGGGTTTCATGGCGCAAGTTGCACCATCGAAATTTCTGAGAGGGTCATATTTTTACAGGTTTTTGAATTTTTGAGAGTGCACATTTTAATGGGGTAATGAATTTTCGGAATGAATATTTTTAGAATAAGGGGCAAGGGAGAAACATGGAACAGACAGCAGCAAGTATAATTGTATTTGATTACAATTTTTCTAATTGTACTTCCCCTTGTTCTGATTTTAAGAAAAGATGGGCAATAAAATATCTTGGGAGAGGGGGGGAGTAGGTTCTTGTTTTAAAGTATTTTTAAGTTTTAAAGTATTCTTAAAACGAATCTAACTTGCTTTTTTATAACAAAATTCATTTGTCCTACATCACTGGGAGCACATTTCAATTTTTGTAATTTATGATACATTACAACTCATCTTATACCTTGGTCAATAATTTGATTATTGAAAATAATAAACCATTGTGATCGACCAAAAAATTCAAAAGCTTAACCCCCTCTCAAATTTTGAGGTTTCACGTTTCAGGATGCGTAGAATTCGAAAAACGAATAAAAAATTTTTTGTCCGTCCGCGCATTTTCTCCGAAACTACTGGACCGATTTTTTTTTCAAATTTTGATATAAAATCAGAAGCCACCCGAGGATGATCGACATTACTATCCGCCTTTTACTTTTAAAATGGCGGTCGAAAAACCTGCGTTACTACAGACTGTAGCTCCTAAACGAATGTACAGATTCCTATGAAACTTCCCTAAAGACATTTTCTCGACGTCCTTTAAATTTATCTATAAAACATACTTCAACGAAAAGAAGCTGGAAAAAAAGTTACGAGGGATGGTAAAATTAAATTCCGAATAACTCGAAAAGTTTATACTTTTTTGTTGATATTGTGATTGTTTCAAAGGTATTTAAATTTCCTAAAAAACAAAAAAAAAAAAATCGTTAAAATCGGACAATTAGGAGCAAAGATATGGTCTCTGGTTTTTTTATATGTTCTACTCCAAATGTTATATCCTTGGTTTGGTTTTTAAATTTTGAATGTGTTACTGAAGTAATGCTATTTTTTTTAGCATATTACTAATGATTAAAAAAAAAAAGTTTAGTCCAATAATTGGAATCATCTTTTGTTTATTTTTCTTTGTAACTCGGAAGGTAATGTTACTTTAGATGTATAATTGTTTGGAAATAATAAACCATTGTCAAATAATTTGCAGTGTTTTTTTATTCTGCACATTAAAAACATAAATCAATTGTTATATAATAACCTAAAAATCAGGTGAAAGTAAGGGCAAATATAAATAACATAAATTTTGTTTTAATTTTTTTTTTTTTCTTTCTCGGCTCCTAGGGCCCATTGGAAGAACTGGGACATATGTCTAATATGTTTCAATCTAATATCACCAAAAAAAAATTTGGTTGAAATCCAAGACCCACTGACTGTGACATACCCTGATTAGTGTATCCAGGTAGGAAAGGTAGAAAATTCAAGTTTTATGTTTTTTTAAGTGTCTTGTTTTTTTGTTTTTTCAAAGTTCAAGAGTCCTCTTTAAAAGGTTTTAACAATTACAAGCTCTATTTTTGTTTAAAGCAAATTTTGTCTAGTTTATATTAGAGCAATTGCTAAATACTTAAATTGAATGTTTCTTTAGTTATCTCTTTCCAATAAACAAAAAACAAAAGTTACTTAAAAGAACACAAAAGTTGGATTTCCTATTTTTCTGATGAAATTTGGCCCAATGTTAATGTTAATCACTCCTATAAAAATTTCCCTCTACTTACGGGACACCCTGTATGCTTACTTCACTTTTTATATTTATTTTAAATGAATTTATTTTCATAATATTATTTTAGGCATGTATAATAATTTTGACTCTGGGAGATTATAAGGTTCTCTTTTGTTCGATGAAGGAGAAGAATGATTGCAATTCAGCTCATTGTCTTTAAAGATCATTTATTTTCAACACTTTTACAACATAGTTAAACCTCTTATGGAACTTTACATTAATCTTTCTAAATCACTTAAGTTTATATCCTTAATACATGGCAAAACAATGAATGAATTGAGGCTATGTACTATATTAGTTTATATTTCACAAGGATATATAATTTTATATAATAAGTACACATATTTATTTTATTAGTCATATGTTTATAGATAAATTTAAAAACAAGATATGCAGTAAAGTATTTAAATGCTTCAAACCAGATTTTTTTGAAACAATTAACACCAAATAGAACTATTGAAATTCAGCAGAGTAATATAGCTACATGTTACATACATTGAAGTATAGATATGCACAGAATAAATAGGCAACCTTCAAAAATATATTTAAATTTAGATATATCAATCCAAATAAATATTTTATAAATATATATTTAATATCATCATCAAATAGACCTGTGTGTTTTAATTCTGTAATCAAAGGTTTTCTTCTCATTTTTCAAACCTATAATTATAGAATATTAAACAACTAATTCCATCATACCTTTTGAATGAAAATATTAGAACAATTTAATTATCATAAGTATTTGATTCTAACCTAATCATATCCACTATGCGCATCTACCATTGCTGATCCATGCAATGATAAATCTATTGTGCTTTTAGTTATTTTGTACCCTCTTATGTTTATTTTAGTATTATACATTTATAGAATGGAAAATTAAACATTCAAAACTATATATTAGCTAGAAGCTATGTGAAGAAATATTAAAAATTAAATACTAGATTTAACTTTGTTTTATTGTCTTTCCTAACATGAAGAAACCTTCTAATCCATTCACTTAAACCTGGGACTAGATTATCCATTCCAATGGAAGCTCTTTAAGGATGTCAAGTATTGTGAGTTCGTCAACTGTACCGAAGAAAATTTATAAAGTTCTAACACAAAACTAAAACAAAAAAATAAACTAAAAAAGAATGAAATGTATCTTATGTATCTTGTTACATACATTAACATCTTATATACAGATGTACATATATAAATGTTATAAAACAGGTAAATTAACTGTGTGAAAAAGGCTGTGTTAACTTCTAAAAAACATACAATACTAATTTTATAATGTACTGTACATTGCCTTAATGCTGTAATTTTCATCAATCTAACATACTTACATTCCATCGTATCATACATAAAATATAGGTCCCCTGTATATCAACTACAAAAATATAAAAACTTAACATATTAAACTATAATATTTATAAAACTTTTGAAGTTATGTTCAAAGAACTTCTCCAATTCATAAAACAATAGGTACTACTCCTAAACACTTGATGACAACAGGTTCAAAAATACAACATAATTTATAAAAAAAAATATAAAATTTTACATTTAACAAACTATTTATGTACATCAGATATGGGACCTATATTTGTTTCATTAATTATATGAAATGATAATCAACATTACATTTCAACTAAAGAATAATAATATCTTATTTACACAGCATTGTTTCTCACTTAGGGTGGAGACATTTTCATTTTTCATATAATTTTACTCCTGCTTGGATGGAAATTCCCTAGAAAAAATCAAAAACAATATTCAAGAAAATAATAAGGTAAAGTAAGGAGAGGAAAGAGTATATTCATAAATTTAGCTTAAGTAATATCTTAGGGGGCACCGAATGTCTGAGGATTTTGCCAAACTTGATTATTTAAGCTACGAAAAAATTTAAGGCAGAGTGGCCGAATGGGCTAACGCATGTGCACAGCACCGCTAGTTGCCCGCCAATCAGATAACCATCGAAGTTATAAGAATCAAAAAAGTACGAGTTCACTTCCCATTGCCAGAGGAGTTAATAAATTCCCCGCTCTCACTCTCGGGCCCAGGAAAATTCTGTATAGCCTAAAAGGCGAGGTAGGTAAGAACAAGGAAAAAAAATAGAAAGCTACAAAAAAAATATATGAAATAAGAAAAATATTATATATAGCCATAAATATTATTATTATCACATGATTATTATTTTTTAGTTTGCTCTCCTACTCTTAGTAACTGAAACTCCTACTTCTGTTCTTAGTAACTAACATTAATATATGGTAATAAATATTTTATTCAGAATTTTTAATTGTAAAAACTTCTGGAATTATGAATATATGTTTCACTTTTCTTTCATTATCTAATTACATACATGGGTGAATAAAATATAAACAATAATTAGTTTTAATAAATTAATATTATAACCCAAATATTACAGCCAGAGATGGGCAAAATCAGAATCAATGATTACAACTGAAAATAAAACTTAATGGCCACACCAATTTTATACTTGATTCAATGGCACTATAAATATACCAAAAATGTGACACAATTATCAGATTACAATCAAAATCGGAAATATAATAACAATTTTAATTGTGTAATCACGTAATCAAAATCACTGTATTCATAATCATTGATTATAATTATACCCATCTATGCTTGCAGCATTTCTCAAGAGAGTTAGGAGAGTATGTAGATTGGAGTGTTATTTTTAACTTTTATCATCAATTTGAAATGTTGTATGTTCCTTAGGCATAAGCATTGTAAGAGCGAGTTTCCAACCAAGCACATGCTTTTTGACTTTTTCATTGATTTTATCATTCTCCTCCAAGTGATTTTTCAAGGATGGAAAAAATAAATAGTCACAGGGAAAAAAGTCTGGACTATAAAGATGGTAAAAAAAGGTTTCTCTGATCATTTCTTGAAAATAATCCCTAGTCAAGAACAAGAGTTGGCATGGAAAAGGATAACATCTCTAATGGGCATACCTAGTATTTTGTTTTAAAAACAGAGATGAGCAAAAGTAACTCCAATCGATGAGTACTGATTATTTTACTGAAATACTTATCCACTCAATATTAAAAACTTCAGTCATTATTCCTTTTACCAATCATCAACTGAGGTAGAAACTAAAATACTCAATACATGTTAATCAGAGTTGTTTTTGCCCATCTCTGTTGCCATAGTTGGCTGCATTTATTTATCTTTCATCATAAAGAAAAACATTGTGTAAAATTCCCCTTGAGTCAAAGAAAATCATTGCAAGAACCTTTCTAGCAGAAAGATAAGTTCCTGACAGGGTAGTTTTCAATCTTTTTTAACCATTGATTACATGTGACACTGAGCTCAAAAAAATGTTTCCTTCTTATTGAGCAAAATGATTTAAAATCAATGAAGAAATCAAAGAACATATTTAATAGTGGAAGACAACTTGGCCACAAACTTTTGATTAAAAAAGGAATATCGAAGCTTCCAAACTGTTGAGAAAATGTTTAGATCATGGAGGAGATTATATTGAGAAATGTTGAAAGTATGGTTCCTTTATAACATTAATCAATAATCCTACAAAAAATAATTATCTAAATATAAAATAATAATCAAATAACTATTCGTAACACCCTTTCTTTGATTAAATTTTAAAATCAATTATTTCCCCATGTCAACAATCAATAATACTTGTCTATAATTAAATTTATATTATTATCTTTTTTTTATTTGTAGACACTTTTACAAAAGGTTTTTGTTTCCTTGAGAGGGGGAGAATCAACTCCAACCACCTCAGTTATGCTCTATTTTAATTTCTATTGGATGTTGAGAAAGCTTCTCACAATTCTGGCAGTATTCAATGGCACAGCTTTCTGTGCTTCAGTTATTACATGAGTTGAGAGTCCTAGCCTGTCAGTAGCTTCCACGGTAGACACTGGTATCAGGCCATTGCTGGATATCAAAATGCCCCTAAAGGTTACTTTATTAAGTTTATACAAACTTTTTAACTCAGGTGCTAGACCTTGATATTTCCGATTTTTTTCTGTACAGACTGAGTTAATGTTTCTGTCGTTTGGCACAGAAATGTCTATAATCTCAGCTACCTTAATATTACCGTCAATTAACAAAATATCCGGTCTATTGTGTATTATTATTATTTATATTATTATTGGTATTGCTTACTGGCGGTAACACATAACACAGATCTATATTTATAATAATCTATAATTATCATTAGTTTTGTCATTTACTTTTCTTTTCTTTTTTATTTTATAATTCTATTACTTCATTATCATATAATTTAATTATTTTATAACTATCATTTTATGCCATACAAATGTCACTTGAATAGTACATTTCATTCCATTGAAACTAGATGTCCCAAAATAAATATTTAACTTTTATTTGATTTACCATTGTGCACCAATTTATATCATTTTTTTTTATTAAAGATATAATTTCATTATCTTATTTATAAAAACTCTACACTCATCATGACAAGCACTATAATTCTTTAATTGAGGTGTTCTCAATAAGAAGTATCCATAGTAAAAATCATTGTTATTAAAAAAAAATTTCAGTTGGAGTTGAAAACTTTTTCTTTTTCATTGACAAGAAGAAATAAATGTTTTGATCTTATTTCATAATGCAAGTATACATTTTACTGACAAATATTTTCCATATATTTAATTTAAATATTTTGTTATGGGCCCTTTTTCTAGAGAATGCTTAAATTTTTAAATAAACCAAATTATTTCTAAATAAATATTTCTTTGTGTTCTCACATCTATCTCACATAGAGGTACATAAAATATATCATTCATATTGATGGATAAATGCACTAAAGAAATAATTAAATACAAACCATCAAGAATTTAACTCAATGTCAGCGCACATATATTTTTTAAACAGATTAGATATGGAACCATATCTATTTACTTTATAAAGATATTAATTAACCAATTTTGTTTTCAAAGTGTTTCTTTAAATTATTCAAATCTCTGCCGCATTATAAGTGATCATGGTCCTCTTTCTCAAATAGGAACCAAAAAATTAAACTTTCTGCCTTTGATGAAAGCTATTTTCTACCTAGGTCCTTGACTATGAACCTCTGTCGTTATAAAAATAAAAACTGAAAAATAATTATAACTTACATTTAATCTTTCTTTTCTCCATCATCTGGATCTTTGAGAGTATGCCATTGGGCAATAGGGCGTCTAGGAGAAGCCAGCATATCAGACCAATGTCTTAATTCAGTTCCACTTGCGTTATATCCCAGCACCACTTTTCCAATAGGTTCTGAAGTTCCGATCCGATCATAATCCACGACAGTTACTACTAGTTGAACTTTCTAAAATAAAAAAAATGTCTAAATAAAGAAAGAAATGTTTGCCCTAATTCATGATCATACAGTACCAAAAAAAGGCTAGAAAATGGAGAAGGGATAAAGATTAAACAGATGATTTGTAAATTTTTTCATGTTCTGTTAGTCTAATAAAATGGTACATTTTATCTTGTGTCAAATGAGGTAGTTCTGATATATTGTTTGTGATTGACAGCTAAAAAGGGGCAGACATTGTCATTCCATAACGCCATAGTAAAAATTTTGAAGTTTAGTCAAAACAATAGTAGCTAAAATCAGATTATAAAAATTAAAAGATAATGTCTTGATAATCGATAAAAGAAATATGTTGCAATGTTAAATGTATCAATATCAATGTAGAGTAATTCATTTCTTCATTAATTCATGGTGTAGGTTTTTTTTTTTTTTTTTTTTTTTTTTTAATCTAAAACATTTTTAACTTGATGTGTGCTGATAAAAGCTTACTGTACTTTTTTTTCCCATGGATTTCTCTCCTTTCAGGCTATACGGGGAATATATTGGGCTGGGGAAGAGGACATGAGATTAATTCTTGAATTAAAAGACTCACTCCCCAGCACCAGGACACAAACTCATAATTATTTTATATCTTATAAACTTTGGTTTATCATCTGTTTTCCGAGTAACGAGAGTTTTACATACGTGTTAGGCCCCTCGGCCAACCCAGCCCCATATTGTGATGAGCCTCTATTTGACAATGATCAGCCTGAAGAAGAAAAACATTCAAGTGAAGAAGTGGTTAATGAGAAAGCAAATTCCCCTCACAGTAATAGCAATCCTGATGAATAGCCTACTGCATTTTAGAGGTTTGAAGGATATTAAAATACATAATATTATTTTATTTAGTAATAACAATTATATAAATAGCATTGCATAATAGTAGTTGGCCCGTGCTAATAATTTGCAGAATATATTGAAGGAAAAACAAAATAATATGGAAATAAGTAGATCTTATGTATTATTTGATGAAGGAATTAATTATGTTTTTCTTGGTTGAATACAATATTTCATTTAACATAAAAGATAGAAATATTTCTAAAAATTACTTTTCTATTGTCAAGTTTTGAATGCTGAATATTACCGTTCATATTCAAAATAAGACCTTGAAAATGTTTTTTTAAATTATTAAAAAATATAAAATATTCCAACAAAAAGAACCCTTTAAGAAATAATAAAGCATATATCAGCCAGGAAATAAGCGGCAGTAGAATGGTAAATGCAGTATCTTCAAAGAGGAAGAAATTATTATGTATACCAAATCTAATAGACTGTAACTTTGTTTATAGTGGTCTGATTTTTATTTTTTTTTTAATTTAGCAATCTTTCAAATAATCATGGGTACAATCAAGAAATTAATGTATACTTTATAAGTTATTAACTTTTTTCTGAAATTTAGGGGATAGCTACTATGATTCATCACTGCTCCATTTAATACCCTTTCATTTGGTACCTCATTTATCAAAATCCATTACTCCTGAGAGCCAGAAAAGGCATCGTTTTGGCGAAAAACTATCCCATTATAAAGATAAATTAATTACATATGATCATTTTTTTTTTAATGATCTGAAAGTCTATAGAGGTTGAAAACTTCAATCACATCAACACATCAAATCCAATATATCAAAGTAATCACCCCATTTCATGATAATTATAATGGACTATCTAGAATATAAAGAAATGCTAATGCTATATATAAACTAAGCAGAAAAAGAAAATTAAATTAAACCTGGTCTCTTAACAATTTTAGAACAATAATGCTATTCATTACTTAATTTTTATTTAATTTAAACAATTTCTCAAATATATTTTAACATTTTTATTGTACAATGTGTTAATTTAATTTACCTGAATTTGCTCAAAAGGAACCTCAAATGAGAATGACTCATTATAATATGGATTCAAAGTACATTTTTTTATGCTAGTTTTCTTCTTCTTTAACCGTTTACCGTTCTGCATAATCGCTATTTTCACATAAGGATCTGAAATAAATAAATATACTTTTAAAAAATGAATACAAAATATCATGATGAACAATTATCAAACTATCTTTCAGAATCAATAGGAACACTCAAACCAATACAAAATCAAAGCTAAAAAGCTTTCTAATATTTGCCATTGCATACAGGATGTGGCATGACAACAATAAATACTTTGGACATTCACATTCCCTATCAATTGAAAAAGATATTGTATGCTCAAGAGCTTAGTCCTTTAAGTTGATTTACACTATACAGTACAGATAGATATTTTCAGCATTGAAACAAAAAAAAAAAATTAAAAACCAGCTTATAGTATTTAAATTGAGTTGTTGTCTACTATAAACATTATTTAATCTGACAATTAACATAAAAATAGCTTACTTCTAAGGACATGGAAGTCTAACTCATTTTAAAGGTTTTAGAAGTAAGCAATTATTTGTTATGTTGATATATCTAAGTGATAACACTGATTAATTGTAAAAAAAATTATAGATTAAGTAAAGATCAAATCCACTAGAATGCTTCAAGTGCCTCTAGTTTCAGCCTTGTAGGTGAGGCTATGAATTGAGCACAACTTAAAAAAAATACTCTGTAGATCCAACCTATTATCAATAGTTTTGAAAATCAGTCTCTTTTTTCATTAAAAAAAAAAATTAATTAATTTCTAGATGAGATATTGATTTCTGTCACAGAATAAATGAGAAAAAAAGTATGGTAATGATGGTGTATGGAACAAAATTGATAATGAATATTGTCCTAGTTAACTGGCTCATTATGTTAACAGTGGAATGTTTGCACCCAAAGGCTGAAGTGAGGACAAAAAAAATTAAAATTATGATATTCAGTAGTATTCTGATAAATGTATAGAATATAACAAAAATATGAATATAATGGGATTACACAAATATGCCCTGTAGCTAGTTACAAACACTACAGTATAAAAAAACAAATTAAAAAGTTCCTGAAATCGGACACAATACCTACAGATGAGAAAAAAATTATTATGTGTAGGCAAACAACTTAAGGAAGACCCTAGTGGGTGAATCTTAGACTGTGAAACTACATTCAAACCTTGTGATATACACCATCTTGAAATTTTTGTTAACATTTCAAGTTACTTTAAATTATTTCAATCGGATGTATAAATACATAAGTTAATATCTATAATGAAATGTTAAATAACCACTAAAATATTTTTCAAATAAAATTTAATTTTACAAAATAAATAAATATTATATAACAATCTAATAAATATATCGTCCATTGATAGAAAAAAGTCATTTGGTACATAATTGATGGAGCCAGACATTTAAGAAAATTTTTATGAATTTCAACTTTTATTTATTCATAAAAAAATACTTGTAACACTTTTTTTTATCATATAAAAAAAGACCTATTAAGTTGTGAGTGGCAATTATTTTATATTTAAGGAAGAAGTGCCTAGTTTTTTAGCTTCATAATGGCTCATTCTGCTTTGTGATGTATCCTCTTCTTCTCTCTCTTTTTGTCCCAGTACCACTCAAAGGTACATCTGGTCCGTTAATTGATCATTATCTTACACGTATCATCTTGTTGTTAGTGGTTAAAAGGCAATTCTCATTAGATCTTGACTGAGTAATAACATCTTGACTGAAGACCAAGAGTCTCTTCGGCTACATTTTTAGAGATTGGAGATTTATGCCCACTGAACATCAATGATCTAACTTCTGTCCAACTCCTCTGTGAGCCTAGTTTCTAGATTCTTCAGATAGGCTTCGCATTCTCCCACTTGGATACATTAAATTTATGCAGTTTCAACTGAGCATTGATTAACCTAGTGGACATCTATATCCACGCCTATATCCAAGTAACACTCAGGTAGTGGCCAGAGTCCACATTGGCTCCTCTGAACTTCCCTTCCCCAATGAGATGAGACTTCTGGTGCGAGCTCATATGCTCTCCTTTGGTGCTGATTGTTCTGATAGGTGACCTCCATGTGGCTTTATGTATCTTCTTACCCAGGAGCACAGTACTTAAAATTACCATTCCATGGCAGTTGTCAAAATTGATGAGTCTCTGACCATTTTCATCCCTTCTATCATGGAGGCTATAAGCTGCTATATTTGGGTAATATGCTGCTTCTTGGCCAACCTGACTGTTAAGTTCACCCATAACTATATTGACAACACCGGGCCAGGCAGCTTCCAAATACCTTCTCTAGGTTGTCATTGAGGGAGTCCTTTTCATCCTCTAGAGAAACTTCTGCAAATGAGTGGAAATTAAGTATTGAGTATTTGTGATGTCTCTTTAATCAAATGTAACATAGGTGAGAAGACATAGGTATAAACTTTAAAACAAGCAAACCATCCTTTCTTTTCACTCTATATCCAGTTCTGAACTATAACCATGTGCATGGTTTCATGGCAGCTGTAATATAGTGTATAGTTTTTCTTTTCTATAATGCCTCTTCCAAGCCAGCAGACTTCCGTGATTGCAGAAATAAGAAGCTCCTGGAGGGTCCTTTGTTGCTATAGAGATAAAACGTTCTAATATGCGTTCTAATATGCAATATGTAGATCAGTATGATGGTTCTTGTTTTGTTTTTCCTTAGAGATAATTTGGTTACAATCCTTTGATATGTCTGATATACATGATTTAGAAGGAGCAGGTTATCAGCACAATGTCCCCCAACCAGGTAGATGGGCTGCCTCCTCAGAGTACCCTGATTTATTTCCTAATTGAGGGCGACTACCAAGGAAGGTGGGACTAAGTTGTGTACTGCATGCGGCCTTATTTTAATTTAGATATATTGTGTACTATTCTGAGTGAGTTGGTGCTGTGTACTAGCATTGGAGCATTAATCCCCACAAGCCTTACACTAAGGCTACCCCTGTGGGTAAGTAAATTTTTGATGGATTCGATGGAGCTAAACTTTTAAATGTGTTTTAGTGAATTTCAAATTTATTTGTCGAAGCAAAACACTGAAATTTCATCAAAATCAAACAAAAACTTTCATGAATTAAAAATACTAAGAATCTATTAAAGTACTTAGCTGCTTAATTTTATGAAATTCTAGTAAATCAATTTTTATTTTATTTTTTATTGTTCCCGTGATCTCCTAATGTAGTCATATCATTAGAGTGCTACCATTGGGTAGTTACTCAGCAAGTGTATTCATGTCATTATATCAATTATGTCCAAATTTACTTGATGTATTTATGTAATACAGTTGTAAATGTCATAAAGAAATAAAAAAAAAAAAAAATTTTTTATTGTTAATATTTCAAACCATAGGCCAGAATTATTCTTTTATTTGTCAACAATTTTGTTACTCTCAAAAGAATTTGTCCCAATATATAGTTATTTTATATCTATCTATCTAAACGACCTTAGCTGACAAAAAGGAAGTGTCCTAAGTGGATGTGATTTTTTTTAGATATTTTAAGAAATATATTTGAAAGGAAATTTGATTTCCTTCATCGAAATAAGTAACATTTTAACAAAAGAGCACATAATGGGAGTGAATAATTGAAGTGAATGTTTAATAAGTAAATATAAGAAAAGAATTATAAGATAATTAGTTTTTAGTAGTAGGAGTGGTGTTTTATATGGTGGCCTTTTAGGAGTGACAGCTTTTTCCCCTCATTCCTAACATTTTGATAAATGAAATATAAAAACAAAATAAAATAAAAAAACATCTGGTGTGTGCATCACACAACTTTCACTTACCGACCGATCTACTCTGAGTAGAAAATATTTTTTGGCAATGTTGGACTATTACAAAATTTTTGAAGTGCATTTTTAATGGAGCTAAAGCTTAAAGCTTACAGGTAACAAATCATTAAGACTACTAAAATAACAAAAACCCTATTTATTATAATGACAGTAGGCAATGAAGCCCCGTAACTCCATCTGTTTTTGTAAACCACATAACTCTGAGCTATATATGTCTAAAGAGTTTTGAAAGTACATCGCTACATTTAATCTATAAATAATTATGGATTGTACGACTGTTAGTTATTAAACTCTAAATTTCCATGGTAAAGTTTTGTAAAATGGAGTTACAAGATTTTCATTTCCTGCCATAGATAGGTCAAAAGTTGCCACACTAATTTTATATTTATAGTTGGGACCTCACAAGAGGAAAATCTATCAAATTATTCTCTAATTTAATTTTCTAAAAGGTTACATGATAACTTTTCAAAATAAACAGGCAATAGATACCTAATTATTTAAATATAATATCGGATCTGGAATCATTAAACTAAAATAAATGTAATTAAGCTTATAAGAAGATGTTTTACACATCGATGAAATATATTTATATTTCACTTCTTCTTTCACACAAGTACAATGAAATAGTTTCTTAAACATTGTCATTGCTTTGATTCGGTGGATTTTATATAATTTTTTTTCAAACTTAAAAAGAATTTTAAAAGTTGGGAAATTTAATTTAATTTTCTTGGAAACATGGGATTTCTGTTAAATAATGTTAGTCTTCAGAAATTATTATTTATATTTTTTTCGTCAATCTATATTACCTTCTGTTTTTTTTGTTTTTTTTTAAATTCTCCACTTTTCAACGATACATTATACATATACCTTTTGACTATTATTTCCAAAGATTCATTTTGGAGCTAAATAAGCATTTTTCTTTTTTTCTCCTTTATTCAATTATCAAATTCTTTCAAAATTTATATTTAGTATTTTTTCATAATTGCTATCAGTGATAAATATTTAATTATTTAAAATAAACCAAATTAAGGATACTTTAGCAGTAGAAATTTTGAACCTTGGACATTTAAGCCTTGTTAAGTGACATCAATAAGGTAAGATGTTGTTATTGGTATTAATTATACATTGATACATTGAGTTTAATCAAAATTGTAAGAGTCGTTATTGAGAAAATTGTCAAATCGATGATATAAAGTGGCACTTTAGTTAGTCGATTTTAAGAAAAACATTCCTGTATCATCCCAGGCATTAACTTTTTTTACCTTTATTATGATATTTACAACTGTATTAGTATGAATACATCAAGTAAATGTGTACATAGGAATATTATTACATGAAACACGCTTGTTGAGAAACTACCCATTGGTAGCACTCTATGCATTAACTTAAATTTGTATTTTCAGTTTAGTACGACTTGTCCTTTTTGAGCTAGACTATTCACATACTTTCCCTTACTATATATTACATATATAGTAAGTGAAAGTAATAAGTAATCATGGTAAGTAATGGAACAATTAATTATTTTTCATCTAATTTTAAACAAAATATCTGGTGTGGTCGCCCACCAGAATTTCCTTATTGCTTTATTCGTATTACCTTAACAGTACCAGTGTGACCAATACAATAATTATTTGCTTAACTTCGAAATTACTGTTTGATTAAGATTTATTCAAAAATGTTTTTTATTAGTTTAGTTTTGGAGACAGTTTAATGGTCTTTTTAAAATGTACCAATGTACCTGGAATGTTCCAGGAGATGTACAGTGTTTGAATGATCCATAAACCTAAGAAAAAGTGACTGATTTTCCATGAGAACTTTTGCAAAATACTTTCAAAATATGGGTTAAGAATACAGAAACTACAACCTTAGTGATAGATCACAGCTCCTTATTCTCTTTTTAACTTCTGTCATGTTGGTAAAAGTACAAGTGTTTTTATTAGTTTATAAGCTGGCAATAAAGAGTAATAGGCCCACTTGCCAGACGTGTATAGACCTCATCTTTACCAATAGTCTATATATGCATTCGATTGCAGCATAGTAATAATTTATTAAAGTTTTAATAGTTAATAACTCCCTAATATTAATTAATTGCAATAAACCTACCAGAAAGACCACCAACATCCATCTTCTTGAGATTTTTGGCTTCAAGGATAACCACTGTTAGTTTACCTGCTGTTGGAACATATCGTAGAGAAAAGCAAATATCTCCTAGCTTGTTATCCTATATAAAACAACAATAATTTTAGACAAAAAGAGCATATAATATTTTACAACTTGGTATGAGTAATAGTGTTTCTCAGTTATAATCAACTGTCACTAACACTGACGTTGATCAATTAAAATAAAAAATACAAATTTATTAAACAAATTTATTAAACAAATATATAAAACTCTTTTATATTATTAGTCTGTTGTAATCGATTTCTGATAAAATTATTCATTTTTACCCTAGACCGACACACTGGGGTGTTTCACACCCCAGAACATTTTCAATATTAATTTACTTTTATATAAGTAGCTCTTTGGTCAAGTTTTTCCATATAAATAAACATCATATATAGCCAGGCTAATTACAGTCATTAGCACTCCATTGTTGGACTTATATCATTCTTGGGAGTAATTGAAAATCATTATGGGGTATCCCACGCCCCCAGTGTGTTGTTTACGTGACTCTCCTTGTTAACTCACACCCCAGTGTGCTATGCAACTGTTCTGGAGCCTGTATCCCGTATGCAACTGAATTTCATATCCCAATGTTTTCTTTGTTATTTTGTAACTTTGAACAATTCAGGTTTGGATTTCTAATGTTATATTTGTTAATTAGTGGTATTTTCAATTCAGACAGTAATGTATATAAACTATTTTTTTATTATGGCAACTACCAGAAAAATGTATTCTTTTTCTGAAGAAATCCATAAATTGTTATGGTGGAAGATGTAGAAAAGATGAATGGAGCATATTAAATAAAGATGGCACAGTAACATTTGATCAAATGTGTCATGTGTGTTAACAGCAAAAATAAAAAAAAGGAGGCTGTCTCTCCGATTTTTTTTTTTTGGAATGTTGAACCATGTTGGTATAAACAGCATGATGTTGTTCAGCATAGTTAACTGGGAAAAGAAGATGAAATGGAGAAATTATTTATTTGGATTAGGCTATTCATAACTTGAGCCCTGTTTGAAAAGAAGACTGCAATTAGAGACAATCAAACGAACAGTGTATTACAACAAAAAAGAAATTTTGGGAACTAAAAAATAAACAACTACTGCCGCAAAAACAAGCCATTAATTTTGCATGAGAGAGAAAAATATGAAGACAAAATTGGTCTTTCAGCAATGTAAGAGACCTATCTGCAATAAACACAGGACGACAGTTTGCTTGAATTGTTGTGAGTGAGTGGTCACATAAATGGCTCCCACTATAGATTTTATTATCTTTTTTTATTTATTTTTTTTTTGTATATATATATTTTGCATCTCAAATATAGATATCCAATTGATATAAACTTAATATATTTTCAATTGAAAAATATTGATCCTTTTTTAGTTTTTTATTAATGTAAATGTTAACTTTTTACTTTATGTTAGCATATAAAATATATTGTCTAAAGTTACATTAAATTTACATATGTTTTTGTTTTCCTGATTGTTTAGCTTATTTTTGAAAAGTATTTGAGTCTTCCAGAGTATGACAATTTAATTTTATGATAATTTAAAGTTTGGGGTGTACCACATCCCCAGAGTGTCAGATTGAGTTAATATATTTAAGTGTGTCGTTCTAGGATTAATAATTCAAAAAAGACCAAACAAGACTTTAAAAATATTATATTATGATCTTAATCTGTATTTATTTTAACATTAAAGCTATATTGCAATAGAATTATGTTTATATCTCATAATAGATAGAGATATATTTATAAATTACTATTGGTAGAGGCAAATTTATTATATAGTTCATTTGTCATAATTTAGTGAAACAATACAACAATTTATTTTGAAAACACTGTCACATCAATATCAGGATTTAGTATGGTTAATCCATATGCAATGAACAAATTCAATAAACTGGCCTACATATGAGGATGTAGTGATAAACATATTATGTTGTTCTGAGATCAAAGTCTATCAAAGTCAAGCCCTTACTATATGTAATTAAAGTAGACACAAACTCTACAGATTAACAATCGATATGTGCACAAGAAATATACTTTTTTTGGGAGAACAAGAAACATAACAAATATCAATTTAATGTTAAACAAGAAAAGAAGAATTTTTCTTACCTTGAATTTAAACAAATAATTTGGTAAGTTAAAAAAATGTATGTGAAAAAGTAAGTATTTCATCCTCAAACAAAAATGAAATTGACACCTAGGTGATGATAGTGAATAATATAGTCACAAAAACTAATTCATTAACTTAATGAACAAACTAGCCCATTAAAGAAGATATCCTTCCATATAATCATAGAAAATAAATAATTGATATTAGTGGGTAGTAATATGTGTAATATTTTTTTAATGTTGATAGTTATTATTTATTATTAATTATTTGGTCAATTTGGATAAATGTAGTATGATAAAATTATTATTAATTTTGGGTATAATATTTTCATAAAATGCATAGGAAATAAATGACTAATTTTTATTAGGGTTTTTATAACTATACAAATATGATATTAACTATATATGCATGATAATAACTGTATTTAAATCTGAGAAACACTTCATAATCACTACCTATTATTTCTTAGTTTAAAACACTTAAAAATGGCACACCTGCCAACTTAAAACACGCACACTAACGCAATACGCGCTTCCACAACACTAAAGTATTAATACATTGGCGAAGCAACTTCCCAGAGGCAACATATTTTCTTTGTCATAATACTGATTTTATATAATAATATTTCAGTAATAAAACTTCATGAAAACATTTTGAATGAGTTTTAAACTTATTTATAGTTGAATGCAAGAAAAACAAAATATCTGCTATTTACTAACATAGGCGTATAAAAAGTGTATATATAAATTAATGGTAACAAGATGTTCATTGATTATGTTCCTCAGGAGGACTGGGTGAGGCAAGCGAAACTCCAAATAATCGCTCAATGGAATGAAACATGGAGAAGGAACCCCTTCAAACTTGCTCTGGTTAAATCCAATAGTGCAAAATGGTGTACGAGTAACAGTAGGTCTAGAAGAGAGGAAATTATCCTGTGCCGCCTCAGAATTTTCACATGGCTATCTACTCCACGGTCAAGAACAACCTACTTGCATCAGGTGTGGTTCTCTTAGAACTGTGAACCACATACTAGTGGACTGCACAGATTATGCAGTTATCTGAAAGAATCTAAACATGCATGAGACTATCAGGGAGGTGTTGCAGGATACGGAGAGAGAAGTGGAAATCTTACTGGACTTCTTGTAAACTATTGGATTTTATAATAGAATATGAAAAGTGTGAGTGAATTGACAATTGCCTATACAAGATAAAATACAAAAAATTACAAATTAAAACATTAAGTAAAACACTTAAATCTTTTACATATTTATTCTTCTCAAACCAATTAAAACTTAATCAGCTGTTAAAGTAATACTTAAATAAGTCAACAAGTACAAGTTAAAAAGAGACTTGAATTTTAAGAAAATTAAAATAACCTTAGGTAGTTTTTGAAATTAGTATTAACGTTAATACTGAATTAATTAGTATCATTTACAATAAACTGACAATAGTTCAAAAAAGAGGAAATAGGATCTTAGCCAGTCCCAGCCTAGGGAGAGCGATTCATAACTTGGCCTCTAGTCAGAAAGAATGAAAAGTATAACACCAAAAGTCTCAATGTATGGATAGAAGCAGTCCAAGTGCAACATATTAGAAGAATTGTTTTATAAATTAATTATTTAAAAAACTTTTTTTTTTTTTTTTTTTTTGGGTTTGGGTTTGGGATTTTCCCGGATCAGGGGGTGTGAGCGGGGATTTAAAAGACACCTCCGGCACCGGGATGCGAACTCGTGTCTATTTTTATATCTTTGATTCATTTATCAGGTTGCTGGGCAACGGTGGTGCAGTGCAAACGCGTTAGCCCATTCGGCCACCCCGCCCACCAATATTTAAAAAAACATTTTATTTTTTAATTCATTCTTGAACATAAGAAACTTATTAAGAAATAAGTAATGTTCTAAAACTAAATCATTTAGTACATTCTCCCAATCATAAGCCCACCAATTTTGACAAAACAAGATTTAGCTTAAAATTGATTAGTTAATATAAGTCAGAGAGGGGCAAAAATTAATTTTAACTAAATGTTAAAAACAACAAATAAACTAGTTATTGTTCTTTTAGACACAAAGTTAAAATGTTAATTGTTATTCACCAACAGACAACTAATTTCAGTAACTATTTAGTTATCATTTAAAATGGTCAACTATTTATTCTTTTTAGCTATAAAAAATTAGTTTCAACGGCAATTATAGGTGAACTAGTTTTATTCACAGTTACCGAATAACAGCAATTTTGTTTTAATCCTTTAGGCGGCAAAACCCAATCCATGACCCAATCGAAAAAACTAATAACAGTATTTAATGAATTGGAGGTGGGAGAGGATATAACTCCATATATAAAGGAGTAGCTCAGTAATCAGTTTATAATCTATATTAAATAATTATTAACTATATGGTTTATTGAACTTTTTTGCATTGTTTGTATGTAAATGATTGTGAAACATTAGAGCACCCATTTACTCATAGTTCCTTGAACCGCTGGTGAGGGCTGTGCAATTTTTAAATCGGTAGTAGTTTTTAAGCTAGACCTCCGATAACATAACAATGGATATTAATGTCTAAGAAATTCGAGATGTTAAAATCGAAATATCCATGGCATTTTCAAAACTGTGCCTTCAATAGTTGATAGCACCAAATGAGACTTTTTACCAAAGAATTTTGTGAAGAATAAAGTATTTATCTTAATAATGGTGGAATAGTCGAACAATGAAAATTTTCAAGAAATAAACAATATATTAATTTTTAATTGTTATTGGACAACTACATATAAAAATTAATTGTTTTCAATCACCAACAGCAATTTATTTTTTATAAATTAAAAAAATTAGTTCTCCAATACAGCTACAACTAATTTAATTGTTGAGGAATTAGTTATGAAGCAGTAACTAATAATTAAATTAGTTGCAATTTATTCACAACTATTTAAACTATTTAATTAAAAATTTATTTAGATAAAGAATTATCTAACTAATAACCAACCCTACTAAATGTAAAGACATTTGCTAGTACTTATTGCTTCAATCCCAATAAGTAAATGATAATAATAATAAAAGAAGTTATTAAAAATAGTTAAGAGCCCTAACAAAAAACTTTTTTTTTCATGCAAAACCCTCCATGTTTTAAGATCAAAAAAAAAAAAATGATAGTTATTATCCTGCTAGTATTTGCACATAATGGGTCAATTTAGAAAATACATCAATTTTTGGCTCTTGGTTTAAGATTTTTTATTATTTCTTGTGTCCAATTTTGTGTTTAAATTTTTTCCATCAATGCAAATGTGCCACATTAAGTATACATATCTTAGGTTGAACATCAGTTTCTTGCTTAAGGAAAAGTTTAAAACTCATTTTTCATGTTATCATACCTATTCAATAATCCAATGTCGTCAATTAAAATACCTCTGAATTGATTATTTCAGTTTTATTTCTATTATCACCATCTGGGAAGTAGCAACATTAGCTAGACTAAAAGCTGTGGCAAGTGTACTCACATAGACTTGTCGAAAGCTCCTAAATGAACTTTGACATGTACACATGTTTTTTTAAAAACTAAATTGTGTTTAAAATTTATAAAAAATGATAACAAATAATTTAAAGCTAAACCATGTGTACAAGCCAATGAAATGTAATGTAATATTTACATAGAACAGAGGAAATTATGTATCCTCTTTCTTTGGGCTATATGAGAATAATTTATCACATAATATCCCAGCTTTATTTTTTTCCTGATCTCAAATGTAAAATTATAATTGTATTTATAGTTGTGATAATAATAACATATACATTGAAATCCAAGGCAACCTAAATAACATTATTGAAGAATACTAACACAAACTAACATTTACGGATGTCCTAATATTGTACATTTCTATATCCTAAAGGTTGAGTATTATTATTATAATACGAGGATGGGTGGTATTTCTTTTACTACTGTTCAACTACTGACTACTGTAGTTTTTGTTTATTGTATTCTATATTACATGTCATTTATATTAGACACATATTTAGAAAAAAAAAATGTGGTAAAGATGTTTTCAAAATTAACAAAAATAAACAAAGTAATAAAATAAACATATTATCAAAGTAAACAGTTAATGTTATTTTGTGAGTGTGTTTGTTTAATAACCAACATGTAAATGCTATCTATGTTTGCATAACACATCTATTAAATGTAAAGGTGCGACAACAGCAGTAAGCACAAGAAACCAAGCCACACAGGATAGGATAAGTCCTTTTGTCATGCATAATGAAACTCTTTGCTAACAAGCAGCTTATCAATGATGAATTTTCAAAGCTTTGAATAATTTTTGTTACCTAATTCTTTTCCTGGATCTAGAATAAAGGGAAAGAAAAAAAAAACTTTTTAAGTTATTATTTAAAAAATAAAAAAATAAAAACAGCATTGGAGACTTCTTCTTTGCAGCATATCACAACCTGACAATATTTATTTCAATTAGGTACTTGCTTATGCCAGTAATAACCACAAAGAATTTCATAATTGTTGTAGAAGTTGTTTTGTGTATGTGAATAACACTGAAAGCACCATTCCTTTCTAAATTTACACATGGCAAGACGAGAGACGACAGATGGACGGACAATGACACTGAAAACTTTCATGCAGACGTGTGTGTACTTACGTGTAACCCATGTTTGAAGCGTCATCATGCACCCGGTTACATACACAGGCCACAAGCAGAGAGAGAGAAATATCGGACCAAAAACAGAGACAAAAAGAGAGAAAAAACCCACATGAATACACAATACGCTATTTCAGCAAAAGGAGCTTTATATTAAGTTATTACCAGATTGAACAATTTAGCTTTCATATGAAAAAAAATAAAATAAAAATAAATTGAAATACTATTAAAATATATGAGAACATGATACAACTTTTTTCTCTCTAAAAGTGTGGATTTCATCAATCTGAAAATGATACTTAATGCAAAGCTCAAATTTGGAAGTAAGAAATTAAATTAACATAAACAATCTGTATTACAACATAGTATTCATGTAATCAAATTACATGTATACACATTGTGAAGTTTGAATATGCCATTTCATTTCATAACTCCTCAAAGCAAAAATTCTATAGATTATTACAAAAAAAAATTATAAAATGAATAGTACTATGTGTATTATTGTGTGAACTCATGGAGTAAGTATAAAAAAAATTAACGTTCTATGAAAATTGTGAAAAAGTTCGTTTTTAAGTCTCATTTTCTATGAGTTTACCTAAAATAAGATGTGGTTAAAATGAGAAAGTTACCTTTGTGTTCTTTGAGTGTGTTGCTGTGCCTTAAGATTAATTGAAAAAAAAAAAAATTATTGCACATCTCATTCTCGTAATACTTACCTGTAAAGTTGCAACATCTTTCAAAAATTTTGGTGTTTATCAGTTCATTTTTTTTTTTTTTTTTAATAACCATACATTGAACTGGTGCAAATGACCATTCATATTAGTAATTAATTTAAGAATAAAATATATATTTCTTTTAGTTTCCATAATTAAAAATATATATGAAACAATAAAACTTAATAAATATTTAAAAAATAAAATAAACGAGCTCTTATTTTAGTGCAATCAAAATTTAATATTTTTACTGATAAGGATGCATTCAGGCAGCATCAAACTGCAGAATAAAAATATGATACTAGATATAAGAAATTAAGTAATATAAAAAATAGGAACAATCTAAAAATTCTTATCTTCATAATTAAAAAATCTACTAAAAAGTTTCGAAGCTTATTGCATGCAAATGAGGGGTGAGTGATGAAACAGTCTGTTATTTAAATAACTAAGTTTGCAAAAAAATGGATCAGAACATTCAATTGTATGTTGAAATTAAAATAAAAGAAATAAAAAAATAATGCTAATAATGCTTAAGAATAAATATTGGTAATGTTTTCTATTGCACTTTACATGGGATTTCTTTTCTTCCTTAAGATTTCAAAAATAAAATTTCAAAAAACATTTAAATGAAGTTAATTAATCCACCCACCCCCTCCCAAGCTCTTGAAGTGCTTATTAACAGTTATGCATTCCATGTAAATATATATATAAAAGTGATAAAAAAATGCTGTGTAACCTGAAGTCTTGTTTTGTTCAAATTATATTGTCATGAAATAAAAATAAATACATACCTAAAGGTTAGCAATGGTAATAAATATTATTACACATATTGTGTATATCACTTGAAACAATCCAACATGAAAAATGAAAAACCAAAAGAATAGAGAAAAATGAAGACAAAATAAGTTTCATTTTCCTTTAATTTAACTGGGTGTATTTGCTTACAATTTTCCATTCATAAATACCAATTTATTTTTGAAATACGATAGCAGTTTCATAATAACAAGAAGTATTGATATTATTTTTAAAGAGTATTATTATTAATAAAGGCTATTTATTATTTCTCAAAGATCCTTTTCCTTTTAGTTCACCATATCACTCTTAAACATAAATCAAAATCAATGATTGAACTATCACATTGTAGATTATCTTCACTGCTAATGATGAAAAATAAACTAACAATTCAAAATTAATGTTATTTGACTTAAATATTTACAACTATTCTTTATTATAACTGCAAAAAAAAAAATTACTACCCACTTGTACTCCACATCTACTCTCCAGTGACATTTCCCACGTTCAATAATATTTGTATTAGTGTTGAAGATTCATTCATCAAAAAAGTAAACCACAATCAAATTATAACTACTAAAATTGCCCTCAAAGAAGTTTCTTAAAGTAAAGATGTTTAAATAAAAAATACATAATTTGCAAAGCTAATATCTGCTTTTTATGTGTTTAACAATGTAACATGTACATAATGGTAACTTTTTACAATCTGAACTGATGTTTAATACTTTTTCAAAATATAAATGTTTATATTTTATTCATATATGCTTGTATTTACTTATTTACACATTATTTTACTATTCGGTGGCTAAACAATGTAGCATGCAAATTATTTACACAGCTCAACTATTACTACATATATGGTGAAAAAGTTATAACATTTTTGTAAATGTTATTTTTATAGCAAGTTTAAACAATAAGATAAAATTTCATTTTGCAATATCAATAATAAATTCTGATTCTATGCATCACTTCTTCTCAACAACAGAAAAAAAGTGGAAATTTTAAAATATTTTTAAGCAACATTGTTGCAATTGGGCCATTATCAAATTTAAACCTTCTTTATGTAACTGAGTACTAAAACACTCTACAACTAAAGAAAAATGTTACAGATTTTGTCTTATTTATTTTTACTATATTCTTTGTGGAATTATAATTGGATTGTTTAAATTGTTCATGTGTGTGTAAAATATTCAATGGTTTTCAATATATTTTTTATTCCATTTATTCTGATAGTTAAATTTTCTTTCTTAAAAAGAAATAAATGAAAAGCTTCCCTGTCCTATCGCCTTCTTGTTTTTAAATTTGTATTTATTTATTTTTTGTTCAGCTTGTAATTGAATATTTTTAGGAATACAAAATTCTTATGTTTTACTAATGTTTAAATGTTTTAACTTTGAAATATCTCATATAATTGTGATTTTTTTTTTCATAAATATCCTTTTCAAATCCAATGTAAGTGTTGAAAAATCTCCCAGATACCCTCTTACCTGACCACCTTCACCTTCTACACTCTGAAGTTCCTTCCATTCTTCAATAGTCTGAGCTAGATCCACTTGACATAACGGTACTTTCACTTCCCCAATCTGATCGTGTTTGCTGAATCGGTCAAAGTCAAATATGGCAAAGACAAGTGTTTTATTCATTGCATCTGCGTACGGCACACCCTAAAAAAGATATAAATATAAAAATTTATTGCAATTTTTTTTTTTTACTTCATTAAAGTGTGATTATTTCATTCCATGATTTTAATTTAATGTATATTTTGATTATTTTTATATATTTTCCTATTCTATTACACTAAAATAAAATCTGATTTAGAAAGAGATGGTACTGTTTTTACTACTATCTGACAATGATTATGCGATTATTTTAATAATATAGGTGATTTTATTAAGGTTTTAATAAAAAGGTGGATTGATGAAATCAAATTCTAGTATTTTCTTGTATTTTTAGAATTATATATGGTAAATTGTAAATATTAAACTGTATGTATGTATATATATATATATATATATATATATATATATATATATATATATATATATATATATATATATATATATATATTTTTTTTTTTTTTTTTTTTTTTTTTTTTGGTTACTTTTATATTAAAGTCCAGAGGACTGTGTGAATGTGGAAGTAAACATTTTCAAACATATTAAAAAATAAATTTAAGTGAAATCTCGATTTCCTACATTGGAACAATTACTATGTCGCCACCATGCTAAGTAAAGAATGTGAGAATCTGCCCAATATGAACTTTTGATTAAGATTATTTGTTACTACAAAATGTACATATATAAGAAAGCCATTCAGATTTGACATTTTGCCATCAGGTGGGTCTCGAAGTACTATGATAAAATAACAGAATTGAAAAATGTGATTTCACATTCATTAATTTAGCATGGTGCTGATGACATTTTTGTAGTATAAAATAAAAGAATTTTATTTTATTTGAATGGCATTGAGACGAAGGTGCTCGTTTTGGGGCACATAGTCTAGAATGGGTCAGCCATAAGCCATTCGAGTGAACCTGCCAAGATGAATTATAATTTCAAAAAACAAAACCTTAACATTTTGGTAACCATACCAGGATCAATTCTAATTTAAAAAAAATAAAATTCTTTACATTTTGTTGACCTGGCCTGGATGACTTATAAATATAAAAAATAAAAACAATTAAAATATAATACATTTTTAACATTTTTTTACATATAAATTTGGCTTCAGATAAGGAAGACCCTTTAAAGTTGAAGTCACATGTGCCGTAAGTGAAACAGTCCCAGCTCACAGGGCAGGAAACTTAGCGCCATAGAACTTATGATGATGTCCTGGTAATCAATTTATTGAATAGAAAAAAATATATTAGTGTATATATATTACTTTATTTGTCACTTACCTTAAAAGTAAATGTTTCATTGAATACAGGACTTAAAGTTTTTCTGTGGACTTTAGTTTCAAACTTTTTTTTTTTATCTGGAAGGAGATAAACTTTTACGTATGGATCTGATGTGCCACCCATATCCAGAGCTGGTAAGTCTTCTGCTTGAATCACAGTAACTGACAAACTGTTTGAATTGAAATCATACTCCAACTGATATAACAAAAGATGAACATTAATTAATACCATCTTCTTTTATGAGAAACAATTATTTTCAATAAAATTAAAACAATTAAACTAACTCAAAATGTTAATGATAATTCATCTATAAAAGTATAAATAATTATAACAAAACAGATTCTTTTTAATCTAGTTAAAGTATAATGTTTCTAATATTCATGAACAATAATTAAATTTAAAGAACACAACTCTAATTTATCAATATTAAAGATCAAAATAAGCTAGAAAATATTATGGTAATAATAGTAAGAAAGGTCATGCAAATGGAAAAGTTGAATAATAAATGAGGTATAAACAAAAAAAAAAGGTTAATAATTCTTAAAGTTAAATTGTTTTTGAAAAGTTGTGAGACATTAATGAATAATTTAAGCAAACAAAATTAAAAATCAGTTAACTGTTTGCTCAAAAAATCGAGTATATGAGAGTCAGAGGAGATGGGCCAGGGACCGGTTCTTTTTTGGCTGGACCATATAATTTCGAAAAAGTAAACAGCTTTGTCTACCTCGGGTATGAGAAAACGACATCTCTCGATAAGTCAACAGGATAGCAATGGTGAGATGGTGCTACTTTGGCCTTGCAAAGCATTTTAGAAGCTGGTTCCTCTCTAACAGGACCAATATCACTCTCTACAAAACCTTGGTCCATCCTGTTTCAACTTATGGATCAGAAGCATGGGCCTTTAAGAAGCAAGATGAAAATAGACTTCTGATCTTTGAGAGATCAATCTTGAGAAGGATTTTTGATCGTGTTAGAGAGGGTGGAATTTGGAGAAGAAGGAGGAATGCCGAACTCGCTTGCCTTTATAAGGATATAGACTTGGTCAAGTTTATCAAGATAGGACGACTACGGTGGGCCAGGCATGTCGCACGTATGAATGATTCAGTGATACTCATGAAGATGCGGTCCGGAAAGATGGATGGACAAAGAAAGTTTGGCAGGCCAAATGTAAGATGGGAGGACTCAATGACATCGGACGCACTGGCTCACAGGGAATCTGAAACTGGAGAGCAGCTGCAGCTGATCGTTTTGGCTGGTGAAAGATTTTGGAGGAGAACCGTTCTCGGTGACGGGATGTAGCGCCATCTATGTATGTATATATGATGGGATTTCACTGAAAATTTTGAGCCATCAAACTTAAAAATCGGTTTAGCTATTCAGTCAAAAAGTCGTTACATACCTACAAGCGGTCAACCTAAACACATTACATTCTTTGTGACCTTGTTATAGTCAGGTAATTAACAATGAGATATTAACTTAAACATTTTTTTTTTTATTCCAGTTACATTTATCGTTTCTTATTGAGACAGTAATGCTGTGATGAGGATAAAACAAATTAAGTTACTCAAAAGTTCTGATCTTTAACAATGACTACAGTGAATATTTTACAAAGTAATAATTATTTTTCTTGATAGGTATGCAGAATAAAAAAAAATAAAAATAATATGATTAGCATAAATATCACATATTGTTATTTTGTCACTGACAAGAAATAAATATTTAATTTTTTTTTTATCATAAACAACCATACCTTGTACTGAAGTTTTCCTAATTTTTGTTCACTTTGCTTGCTTTCACCTTCTTCAGCTATGTCCTCAGCATTTTCAGTAAGTTCTTCCATATCCGGCTGTACCTGCATACATTTTGCAATAGAAAAGAAAATAATGTAAAAAATTTACAGAAGAATGATCTTTTAACTCAAGGTCATTGTCATTCTCAAGGTCATCATTTTCTTAATTCCATGCCAAATCAAACTTTCAAAATTTATTTACTTGTCATCAATTTAATGCAGAATCTGCTGATACCATAAGTTTTAGCATTATAATTTACCGTCATGTAAAAAAAAATTCTTAAACATTAATTTTCATGGTTGTAATAAAAATGTAGAAAACTATCTGTAGCTAAAATCTCCCTCCAAATACCACAATAAAATCATATATTAATGAAAACAGCATACAAATTCTCTACCAAATGCAAAAAATAATATAAGTGGGATTTTGAGTATGAAGAGTTATATTACAATTTAAAATTATACATTAAATTTTAATTTATCAGTTATATATAAAAGTAAAACTTACTATAATCTCTCTCCAAATACAACCATATATTACTTGAAACAGCATGAAATACCCTTCTAAATGATAAAATATCAATGGACAAGGCTAGTGAGTTTAATGAGATTTATTATAATACAAATAAAAAAACAAATGTCTGCAGGTTATAGTGTGTGTATGACCAACAAAATAATATTTGTATTTATTAAATTATTAAATTTTGTGCAACAAGAAAAGGCAAACTTCCTTTTAGAAGGAAATCTTTTTCATTTGTAACACAAATTCATCATTGTCTTAAATTTTCATACTGGCCATTGCAGCTATCGGTGATGTACTTGACATAGTCTACTGATGGTAGATTCGACTTAATGAATGGCAATTTGTTGTTGAACGAAGTAGACAAATGGTACATCATGTTTAAGGCTGTCAGTTTCAATGTAATTTTTCAGTGTTTAAGTTAATGTTTCAACTATGTTACTATCTCTGTTTCTAGAATATATTACTACCACTAGCGGATCCAGAATTTAATTTTGGGGAGGGCTTCAGCCCGGAAGATTTTTTTTTCATATATATATATATATATATATATATATATATCGATAATTTCATTGTAAAAACAGAAAGATTCTAACTACCTACATGGAATGGTGTTTAAGTGATTCTTGAAGTCATATTAAATGTAATTAAACGAGCAATAATACTTTAAGACTTAATTTTTTTAACCATAAACATGGTTATATTTGACCATTTTGCGGGAGGCTTCAGCCCGAAAGCCCCCTCCCCCCCGTAAATCCGCCTGTGATTACTACTGCATGTGAAGATCAACTTGAATAACTCCAGTCATATGACCGAAATTCGTTTTACAAAACAAAATTATAATCACCCTAGAACATTAATCTAAAACAAATAAAACTGAGCAATAAAATTGATGGTGAAAAAAATAAGCAACCCATAAGATTAAGCAACCTATCTAATAAAACAAATGATATTAACTTGACCAGAGACAGCTGAGATAAGATTAACATAAGACTAAAGGAATTATTGAAATGAAATATGAATGTTGTTTATGCTTGTCACTTATGTGATTATTCTTAATAATTGTGTGATAATTCTGTAAAAACTCAGGGTTTGAAGTTGATAATTATTTTTTTTCACAAAATCATGTAATAATTAATATATTTGATTTTTAATTTAAAAATCATGCCTGATTTATGCAGTAATTTATGGTTGTATTTATTAGGAAATTTGGAGAGCGATTTAAGCAATTTTTACTTGTATTTGTAACTGGTAAATTCAAATTTATTATATTAGGTCTAGATTGTAATAAAAATCTTCAAACTCAAAAGCCCTCTAATATTATTTTTGCATTTGATACAGAATTTTGTACAATTTTCATTAATATATGATTGTATTGGGAGTATTTTGAGAGAAATTTTAGCTATAGATAGTTTTCTATATTTTTATCACAACTTTGAAAATTTATGTTTAAGAAAATTTATGTTCCTTTATACATGACAAAAAATTATAATGCTAAAAGTTATGGTCTCAGCAGATTCTTTATTAAATTTATGATAAAGGAATTCATTTTGAAAGCTCTTGGTCAATAAATATTGGTTTTACAAAAGAAAACCAAACAAGTACTTGCTTGTTTTGAGCTCAAAATGTCTTACCAACTTTAAATATTTCAACAGTTTAAATGCCCATAATACCAAAATGAATAGTTAGAATTGGGTTAAATTTGGTATTTTTACTTTATTGTATATTTGTTTAATATTTACAAATTTTCATTGAGATCTGAGGAGGTGTGTGTCAAGTTGAACTTTTTCTGGATGATTTGGTGTGAAATGACCCCTCGCCAAAAGTTCTTTTAGAAACCAAGAGTACTTAAATTTTAAATAAAATATTATGTTATCACGCACCTTTTCTTTGTAAGCTGAACCCAACAGCTGAACAGATTTCAGATCGACAATACCTTTGCCTTTTTTTCCATCCTTGGCTCTTCTTTTTCGGAAACATCTTCGAATACAACAGAAGCACAGCAGAAGGACCAAAAGGCCGACTCCTGTCAATCAAGAAATAAATTAATAACATGAGCAATAAAAAAAATAGAGTATTGTTGCTTTTGATACTACTGCACAAGTGTTAGTCGAACATGATGGGTGGGTAAAGATCATACTGTAGATTGTATTCTGAAAATGGTTGAGTGTGTCTGAAAGTGAATGGAGGTGAATCAAATCTTGGCCCTGACCACAACTGAAAAGCATCTGTTGAGGATTTGTTTATTCCTTTTTAGCAAATGGAAGTGTGTAGCAAGGACAAGTCAAAAGCAGCAACGCTATTATAAAGCTTATTAAGGTCTGGATTTTTACTGTAAAGGACCAGTTGTGAGTTTGTGTAAGTCTTAAAACATTCTAAATAAAGGAAGATTATACTGGTGAACACCTGATCAACAATTATCCTTTACTGAAATTTCATTTGTGGTGTGATCATAGGATCTTGTATACACCCATCAAAGTGGACTATAATTTTAATTTATTTTTTATTTTTAAAAACTAAACATAAGTTAAGTGACCTTAATATATCTGTTGAATAATAATAATAACATTTAATTTTGACCATTCAGATCTATGAGGAGAAGAAAATGCTATTAATCTATTTCCATTTTATTTCACAAAATTCATTTTGATTTTGACAAAAACATATATGAAATACATTTTACAGTGATTAACAAACTCCAAAGCTCTTATAATTTGGTAACAAGAAACAGATTGATCTAAAACATAAACTTATTTTTTTATCAAAAATAGTTCATAATTCTGCTGTGATACATTTTGATCTGGAATCCTTCAAACGTTAATTATAACTTAACATTTGTAGTAAACAAAATTAATTTTTTTGTTTGTTTGTTGATTTGAGAAAAAGTTGATTTTCTCAGTAGTGTAATTCTTTCACCAAAAATCATGTAGATAGATTTATTCCTGACACCCTTAAGAATTTTTTGTAACTAATTTATTTAAGAAATATGATCCATTTAATCCCATTTTGAGAACTAATTTGTTTAAAAGATAAACAAGTTTTATTTAATATCACAAAGAACAGTGGGGCTGAAAATAAATAATTTAATTACACAATACTCTCTAAAGTTCTAACTCCTACAAATTAACAGATCATCTTTGTTTTTTTAAATAGTGAATTTTTACTTACCAACTAATATAGATATTACCACCCATCCTTCAAGCCCGGTCTCTTCAGCAAGGACGTTTACTGCTTTTTTAAATTCTCCTGGACCTTTTGTCGTAGATACTTCTGCTTCAGTTGTGGCTGAAGTAGAAGAAACTGCAAATGGATAGAGTTTTATTAATTTGTTTGATGATTTTATTAAATTATATCAGTATAGGTTGCATTAGGTAAAACTATATACCTTCACTCAAGTTACCTAATAAGGTATGTATGACCAAATGTAAAGTTTTTTTTCTACTTTTTTATGAAGTGGAGAATGAAGAAATCATTTCTGTTTTATACTAAAAACTCTAATGAAACAATAAAAAGGTTGTTTTTATTTTAGTAAAACATTCACCTGGTAACTTTCAGAGTGAATTATATGATTCCAAGTATGAAATAATTAACTTTACATTCCGAGATTTCTTCAAGACAATTTTTAAGTTCCCATCTAGCTGTACAATGTCAAGCATCTTGCTTCTCCAGCCACATAGGGCAGATTTGGTTGTTGGACTTCCTGCCAATGATCTTAGCAGTCCACATTCACTCTGACTAGATACTTGAACTATCTGATATCAGCCATAGAAATGAGGTAATTAATTTTCTATTTGGTCTCATAGTATCATCTTATGTTAATGACTACAAATCTTCACCTAATAACCTCTCAATTGAATATAATGAGGTTTGGAGACTCTGTATAGTCCAAATCTCTTCACTATATCGAAGGACTAGGAAAGTAATGGATTTCTATAAGAATATGAATCTCATTGTAAATGCCTGCTAAATAACATGTATTTATGCTGCTTGTGGTTTAATTGAACAGAACAAATGAGAACTTGTAAATTTTCACCAGTCCATTTTCATGGAATTGAAACTATATATATATATATATATATATATATATATATATTATATATATATATATATATATATATAAAGGTAACTGAAATTTAATATATAAATATAAATTATATGGAATTTAATGAAGAAAAATATGTGGCTGAATTAAGTTCATTAACAGTACCAGAAAAATAACATTATGATGGAGAAATTTTTTAATGTAGATTCTTATAAGAGTAGTTGGTGGGGATTGCAATCATAATTAGTACTTATATACAAGAGACATATAATTTCTTTTTGTGTACTGCAGTACATCTCTTATAACAGAACAATAACAATTTAACATTGTTCTTTTGCTTTTTTTTTTTTTTTTTATACTCTTTCCGCTATTCTCCAGATTCTTTCCTTTGTTCTCAATGTCTAAAAACTCACATTGAACAATATACTATAGAATGCACCCAGCTCTGTATCAATGTCAAATAATGTTGTTCTTGATTCCCAACCACTCTGTGAATTTCAGCTGCAGTTTTGTAAAGAATGAAACGCAAATTAAAACGTTCTATTAAAATTGAGATGGAAAATAAAAAACAAACTCATCAATCTATAACTAACCAATGCAAATTAAGAGATGCAAATTCAAACAGCTATGTTTATCAAACAGTTCAATATGATGATGAATAACTTAAAATGTCAATTGGAAGGAGAAAGTTGTCAACAAAAAAAAAGTTGCATTCGAGAACTTTTCAAAATTGTCAAAAGAGAAATCCCAAGTTCTTTCAAGCTGAAATTAAATTTTTAGGACATATCTTCTCTGAATAAGGGGTCAAACTGGATCCATCCAGGGTCGAAGCCATCATCAGGATACAGCCACTAACTAATCAGAAGGAACTTAAAAGTTTCTTGACCATGATAAATTATTATCGCAAGTTCCACCCAACGCGGCTGACATAATTTTACCGCTCACTCAGCTCTCAAAGAAAGGTAGACCTTTTCTCTTTACTGATTAGAATCTGAATAGCTTTTACAAAAGTAAGGAAGCGCTCACCGCGGAGCCATATCCAGAACGAATTTATAATAACAACGGATGCAAGCGAAAAGGCTCTTGGGGCGGTATTGTCGCAGGAATCGGGTACTGGGGATAGACCAGTGGCCTTTGCCAGCAGGCAGTTGTCTGATGCATAGTCGAGATATAGCTAGATATATAGATATATGTAGAGGGAGAACTTCTAGCAATTGTCTGGGCAGTTGATCATTTTCGTCCCTACCTGTTCGGAAGGAAGTTTACCCTTCGTACTGATCATAAATATTTATTGTGGACGGAAGGGCTCAATGAATCTTCGGCTAGAGTAGGGCGTTGGACAAATAAATTACGGACATATGATTTCCAAATTTTGCATTAAAAAGGTTTCCAAAATTTTGTCGCAGATTGGCTGTCTCGAGCACTGTATGCAAACCCGCTTCGTGAAGCGGGCCCTTCCACGGATGCTGCTAGGGATGACGTGTTCAACGGCGATGAGAACAAAATTCCTGCAAAACCCGACATCCGGATTTTAGGGAAATGGATACAATCGTAAACCAACTCTCACGGTAAATTATCTGGAAAACGCGCACGGAGGGCACGTCAGGAACAGAACTTACGGCCGTCACAATATTGTGACTGTATGAATCTCGGTGACACCGGCAGACATTGTTTGCATACTGCCCGATATTACCAAGCGGGGCAAAACTTATTACTTGTATGTGGGAAATAAAACTGTTTTAGACCGCATTAAGCACTTATCCGAACCATAGTGTATAGGTACGGATAGGAGCCTTATTTTGTGTCCCTGAAATCTTTGTTGCGTTACTCCGCAGATATTACTGGCACCATATGCGTCGATCGATCAGCGAGTTCCTTCAAGCATGTACGGTGTGCCATCGTGCGAAATATGATTGACATTCCATTACTGTCCATCCGGAAGTGTCCCATACTCCTGATTCACCGTTACTCGACGTTCAGATCGATATCTTTATTTGGGAAAGGTCGAATTGGCTTACAGTCCTAGACAATTTCAGCAAATTAGCCATGTCATATCCACTGCCGAAAAAAACGAAAGAAGCTGTTTGGGAAGGTATGTTCAGCTGGATGTCATGCTATTGAATATCTCACAGTATTACGTAAGACGGTGGGAGGGAATTTCGGAACACCCGTACCACTACGGAATGCTCGGAGTTAAACATGAAGTGACATTTTAATTCTCCGGGTAATCTCCAAAGACGAGGGGCTATCGAACGCCTCCATAACACCTTAGAGAGGCGAACACCTTCGATTGTTCCAATTGCATAGGAGACTAGGAGCGATCGCAGCAATGCCTCGGGCGGTGCTGGCATACAACAATGCCATCCATTCCGCTACAGGTTTCACAACAGAGGAAGTACTATTCGTTCATCCACTACGGAAGCGAGGAGATTTACTAACGACTGCGTATATACATCTAAGAGATGTAAACGATTCGCCGCCATATCCAATAAAAATTTCTGGAGCGCACCGGAACAACTTGGCCGTACCGGACGAATCCTACAAGATTTCAATAGGCATGACGGTATACTGCCAACCAACGTCCAGTCATCGAAAGGCGTTCAACGATACGAAGGACCATTCGAAGTGGTAGCGATGCGAGAACATAACATTGTGTCTATTCACCTAGCAGAGGCTCAGAGAGTGAGGCATACCCATATACTGCCCCTTCGCATCCCTCTAGACCCAGATAGAGAATATCACCTCAAGGTGCGATCTGCAGAAACCGCATTGTAAATAACATTTTTTTTTATTTACAGTCTAATTAATAGGTTTTTAATTTAACATGCCTTCTCACAGATCTGCATCATTCCAAAATTCCTTTATTGTTCGCTCTGTCAATTTCTGGAATTCCCTCCCTATCAAAATTCGACATTCCCCATCCATATCCACATTCAAAACCCTCCTATTCCAATTCCTATCCCCAAAACAGTCAGATAGTTGCTAACCATTCGAGCTGATTTTAATAGAGAATTTGATACATTTTTATTTTTTAATTCTTTATTTTTTTCGTAAAAGTGTATACTGGTCTATAAGAGCAAACAGCTTTAAGTGTTTTGTCATAGTATTAATGGTTTTGTATATAGTTTAGTTTGTTTTGTATATAGAATTTTTACCTTATATTTTTTTTTACAATATTTCTTTTTTTCGATTGATTTTATTTTGGCCAGATGTAATACATTAATTTTGTTCTATTTTGTTATTCTCAAGGGACTGTGTCCCAGAATAAAGTTATTTTTCTATTTCTATTTCTATTTCTAATTAGGATATCAGTCTGTTCAAGCTTTAGTACTTGTGTTCATTATAGGTTATTGTGTTCGTATATTGTAAATCTTCTAATTTATAATTGGTAAATGGTTGACTGTCGTGGATAATGAAGAGAAGAATAGTTGGGGTGGTCAGTCAAAAAAAGAAGGCAAAAATAAATGATAATATTTATTTTTACTTATGCCGACGTTTCATAGCCTTCATCAGGGCTAAGAAAATAACCAGACAACAAATTTTCTAACAAATAAGTAATTACAAATTACAATTTTTTTTTATTAGGGGCGGGATGGCTGAGTTGGCTAAAGCGTGTGTTAAATGCGCTTTATCTGGTAACCTGATATGCTAATCAAAGATTATGAGTACAAATCCCGGTGTTGTTGGGAGAAGTAATTCTAGTATAATTCTCCTATTCTCTACCATGGTCCTAGAATACCCCGTATAGCCTAAAAAGCTTGGAAGAGGAGAAGAAGAAAAAATGAGGCCAAGCTATTTTCAGTATGCCCTTTTCAGCATTCAGTATACGACTATAAAAATGTTCTATTCTCCTTGGAGTAGTAATGATAAAATTATATTATTAGATGAAGAGTGCGCCACATAGTCCAGAAGATCAAACGAACATATCACGGGTTCACCTCTTATTAAAGAGAAACTGGCTTCATAGACTCTCCACAGCAAAGGAGTAGAGCATCTCTGATTTTTTTTTTTATCCTCCCTTTTTATTAATTTACATAACTACAACATGTACTATACTACAGATATAAATATGCTGATATGAATACATAAATATACACTATATTTACATATTTCCTATTCTTGCCCGAAAGCATTTGAAGGTAAAGATGGGCTTTGAATGCGATATGATTATTTTACAATCCGTGGCCAGAGTCCTTCATTTCTTTACTGGGCGTGTAGGGATCCAATTTTTCAAACTCTGATTCCAATTTTTTTTTATATTTTATAGGATGACAAAATTGTACTGTTTTAAAATCTAATTAAAAATGTTTTAATTAGAATTTCTGAAACCTCCACAGAACCGCCAAAATGAGCAATCGTTGGACTTGAGTACTGTATTGAAGGTTGAAATGCACCTACAGCGAAACGACTATATATCTTATTCTTGATGATTGGCCGAAGCTATTTCCGTGTTCTCCCAACCATTTATATAGCCTATGATGACTAAGCGTAAAAAGAAACATCACAACCTTGAAAATTCTATAACGACCCAAGTGCGGCATGTCTAAATAATTCAAAAGAAGAACACATAGTGAGAGGAGAAAATTTAAAAGAAAATAAATGTATTATTACTGTATAGTTTACAAAATACAATATTCAAATTAAATAATATATGAAACAAAGTTAATTCTTGTTGAAGATACATTAAACTATTATTGATACTTAATTTTGTATAATCTAAAAGTAATCTGAACTGTTGGACTTAAAACTCCAAGGATAGGTCCCTTCATATCCGCTTCCAATCAAGTCCTCCCAATCTTATTTGCTCGGCGAGATCGAATTAACTTTATCTTTATCACTCCGACCAGAATTTTCTCCAATAACTGCCAGAAAACGTAGTTTTACTTTTACCTAATTACAGCTCCCCTCATAAACTCCTATTTCATAATAAAAACAATTTTTTTTTTCATATTTTAATTAGCTATGTAAAAATGTTATACAAAACCTTCTCTTTAAATTATAGTATTCACAAAAAAATCCTTAATTATACCTAGTTTAGGCCTAAATGTACGAAAAATCATATTTTCTAAGCGCCTGTGTATAAGAAACACCATTCCTCCGCTTAAGATAAAAGGAGCTATCACTGTGTGACAAAACTGGAGCTGACAGTGACTATGACCAAACTCTGAACAGAATCTGAAATTGAAAGGAATCAATAAAGTAAAGGATCAAGTGGCAATAAATAGACATATATGAGATTAATTCGGAGAGCCTCGCGGTTTATCAACATTGGGAGGTTTTAGAGACAGGACTAAAGAAATAAAAAAAAAACTAGGAAGTAATATGTATTCAGAAAAAATTATAAGCCGAGAAGTGGTTCAACAGAACAGGCCGTTGAGGAAAGGAGAAAAAATAATGTTTGCCGAACCAGATCTAATCGAGCTCCTCTGTACCAATGAAAAGCAAGCAGGAAAAACACGAATAAAACAATTTCTCAAAAATAAACTGCAAATCATCGAAAAAACTGCCAAACTGAAAACTTATGCTAATTATACACCGTATCATACCCTTCAATCAAAAGAAAATATATTAGGTATCCAGTTAAGAAATTTCCAGCAGCTTCTAATTCAAGAGAAACCTACGAAAGAAGAAGACAAGAACAACGCTCAGGACCTCTGCTTCATTCTTATATTCAGGAAGTGGAAACAGCTGCCGACAGAATAGAAGAACCAAGGGATAAATAGTCTATCTTTAAAGCTGTTTAAAGCTGGGAAAGAACATCTAGTCAAGCTTTTACAACCAATACAGAAAATATGGGAGGAAGAAAGGATAACAGAACCTCGGACCACGGGACTAATAAGCCCTATCCTAAAGAAGTGCTGTTTCTGAGTTTGTGGTAATTACTGAGGTCACCCAACCGCATCTTCTTCCAGAATGAAATGAGAAGATTATCTTCAAAAGTATTGCTCAATCATTGGATTTTATAAAGAGTTCTCGGTGTACCGACAATAGAAATAGGTACTTTAGAGGAAGACGAATATGAACACTGGTCATTTAAGCCCTGTAAAGTGGCATCAATCGGGATAAGACCTGATTGATGTTAAAGACCACTTCATTATACAATGATACACCGAGTTTAATCAAAATCGTTAGAGCCGTTTTTGAGAAAATTATAAAAATATGTTTCAGCATTGATATAAAGTGGCACTTCAGGTTAGCCAATTTTAAGGAAAAAGTTGGTGTCACATCTAAGGCATATACCTATCTTGAATATATATCAGTTTCGTACGACTTTTCGTTTTTGAGCTAGACTGCTAACATACAAACACACAGACACATAGACCATTTTTCAGGACTTTGTTATTTGGACTCAGGGTACTCCAAAACGTTAATTTCCGTTGAAAACTCAGGTTCAAAAATTTTCATATATACGTAAGTGAAAGTAAAAACTTTTAATAAATCATATACAAAGATATTTTCAACACAAAGGTAACATGACTTCTTTAATCGCGTTATTTTATTTTGTATAAGGTAGGTTTCAATTTTCCAATTTTAGTAAAAAAAAAATCGTTATTTTTACATACCTAGGAGATGACCAATCAGTTTGCATTTTAAATAGTAAATTTATAAAGTAACTTAATTTGAAATAGGCAAAGTTATTATAACTTTTTAAAGCAGACTATTTTCGATTCAAACATAATGCAGAAATCGGTAAATACAGCATAGCATATGTATATTTTTATATGCATAAGTATATGTTTATATGTATATAAACTACAGTTTCGAAATGTGGCCATTTTGTGATTTCCTTATGAACGAATAAGAATTATCTTCTTTGTAGTAAATATCCCCCTGTATTTACTCCTTTATGTGACATTGTGTGAGGAAATGAGAAGGAATATATAGGAATGTGAGGTTGCACGATGAATTGTACTCAATTGTACGTTTATTTATTTAGTTGTCCCATAGGCCTCACAATTGAAGAATAACAAAACAGGTTAATTCATTCAGTCAATTCATTCAATGTGTATTTACTAAGTCCCACATTTCATATATATATATATATATATATATATATATATATATATATATATATATATATATATTCTTATTGTTTCTTGTCACTCAGTGCACTAGCGGATCCAGGATTTAGTTTTGGGGGGGGCTTCAGCCCGACAGTTTTTTTTTTCATATATATATATATAAGATATATATATATATATATATAAAACGATAATTAATTGGAAAAAAAAGAAATTAATTAATTATCTGTATGAAATGGTGTTTAAGTGGTTCTTGAAGTCCTATTAAACGTAATTACACCAACAAGAATACTTTAAGAGATAGTATAAAGTATTTTTTTCTGTAAAATATGGTTAAATTTTACCATTTTGGGGGGGCTTCAGCCCGAAAGTCCCCCCCCCCCGTAGATCCGCCCGTGACTCAGTGTCACAAAGGTATTAGATTCACGAATTCCAAACGACAGTTAAATACTCTCAAAAAGTCTATATCCAGTGCCAGGATTTTGTTTTAATATTCACGAGTGTAAATAACCTAGTTCCCTGATAAACGGAAGGAATATTTACAATTCTCGCCAAAACTAATTATTTACAATTAACCTTTAACATGTTATTTACATCTTATTAATTAAAACTAATATAATTTTTTATATGATTTTTGTACGCCCTGGCTTTTATTAATCAAAAAACATGGCTATAATAAAAAAGTAAAATCTATTATGTAGTACTTTTTAGAACTCTCATTCTCATATACTTATAGTTTTAAAATGCTTCTTACGAAATGTTACAATTCAATTACCGAATTGTGTGTTATAACTTGGTGACCAGTATAAACGTATATGTATATATAAAACAAAAACAAATGTGCATTTAAAAAATAATTAATATTTGGTTACCTGATCTTGGCGTGGGAGTGTAATAGTCATCTTTGATTTTGGAGCCAGCTGACAGAGCTGTCGAGTCAGGCGGCGGAGGCGACGTTGTCGTCGAGTTCTGTTCGGCGGGCCGACCGGAAGGCGGCATCCTACAGAGGACAATGGTAATACCGTGAAAGTATATCAAAATGTTAATAAATATTACAAATTCAAATATATATCAAATTTAACTTGAAAAAAAAAAAAATATCAAATATGAACCTAAAAAGATCAATTTTGGACTATATATTAATAATTCCTTATGATGAGGAAGTTGTTGGAAACCGAAATGGAAGGAGGCCTGGAAATCAATAAAGCTATTAATAATAAGTGAGTATTTGGCATTTAATAATTATGGAAACTCCTCACTAAATGTTAGAGAATGGGATTTGACCCCAACTGAGTAATATATATATAATAGGCAGCTGGCTTTCGAATTAAAGCAATAGAAAAAAACTGGTGCGCGCAACACACAACTATCACTTACTTTTTGAACTTTGAATATAAATTATTTTCTGACCATGTTGGACTATTATAAAATATTTTTAATGGCATTTTCAACTGAGCTAAAGCTAAAAGATTGCAGCTAACAAATCATCTATACTATTAAAATAACAAAAGTCCTATTTATTATATCACCGGTTGATTAAGAATTGTAAGATTCGATTCTATCGCAACAGAACATTTTAAAAAAAACTAGAGATCATATATTTTCTCCTTGTCCGATTTTAACGATTTTTTTTAGGAAATTCCGTAAACTTTTAAAACACTATTACAATATCGACAAAAAAGTGTATACTTTTTTAGTTATTCGAAATTTAATTGTACTATCCCTCGTAACTTTTTTTCCAGCTTCTTTCCGTTGAAGTATGTTATATAGATAAATTTAAAGGGTGTCGAGAAAATGACTTTAGGGAAGTTTCATTGAAATCGGTACATTCGTTTAGTCGTACATTCGCAACGCAGGTTTTTCTACATTTTTATTTTTTTCTGCTCTATTAACTTATCAAATTCTTCAAAAGTTATATTTAGCATTTTCTCTTAACTCTGAATAATGTGAAATGATCAACTTTTTAAAATGAACTATATTAAAGGTACTTTAGAGGAAGACGTATATGAACATTGGGCATTTAAGTCATGTAAAGTGACATTAATGGGGATAAGACCTGATTGATATTAAATACCACTTAATTATACAATGATACACCTTGTTTAATCAAAATCTTTAGAGCCGTTTTTGAGAAAATTGTGAAAATGTGTTTCAGCGTTGATATAAAGTAGTACCTCCGGTTAGCCGATTTTAAGGAAAATGTTGCTGTAACATCTAAGGCATATATTTATATTAAATACGTAATATCAGTTTCGTACGACTTTTCGTTTTTGAGCTAGACTGCTAACATACAAACACACTGACACACAGACCATTTTTCGGGACTTGGTTATTTGGATTCAGAGTACCCCAAAACGTGTATTTCCGTTGAAACCTCAGATTCAAAAATGTTCTCTATCCCAATACTTACCCTTACTATATATTAAATATATACGTAAGTGAAAGTAATTTCCCTTACTATATATTACACATATACGTAAGTGAAAGTAATTATCCTTACTATATATTACATATATACGTAAGTGAAAGTAAAAAAAAAGCCACCAGAGATAAAAATATCATAGTCTTATATTCAGTTCTCGGGAATAACAATAAACGGCGAGCTTCAAACGATAAAAGAGACTTCATTTGTCGTTGGTACTATGCTGTATGAACCAGAAACCAGAAACCACCAGAACCAGGACTATTTTAACAGTGAGCAAATTCAGCAAGAAAACTTATATCTATGGAAATGGATTTTTGGAGAATTGTTGTTTCTACAACAGAACTTCAACAGGACAACTATCTAGACTTCAACAGGTTCCAAATAACGCCATTAGAGAAAAAAGTAAAAGAATTCCTAAACATCGCACACTCCATTGTGACAATAAAGCTGATTTGAACACGCAATGGGAATATTAAGCATGTACCATGTGAAAGATGGATGGAAAAGAGATCTACAGGGAAAGAGACATCATAACTTCTTGAAATGACTCTAAGAGCAAGATTTATACGGCTAAAAGAAATGGCGACAGTATTTATTAGGGAACGACATATGATCTTATGTTATTACAAAGTCATTTGTATATATATATATATATATATATATATATATATATATATATATATATATATATGTGTGTATATATATAATCATAAAATACACAACTGTATAACAATAATTAAAGATTCGATTGGAAGAAAAATGCGCTATACACAAAAAAAGGATTATTTTATTATTTTTTCACTAAAGAATTAAAGAACAACAATTTATTAAAGATCTTGAGCATAGATCATACATTTTCAATCACTTGATTTTTTTTTTGGGTTGTGCCGTATGTTGTATTAATATATAGAGGAGAAATACTGAATTAGGGATTGCCGAGCGAACTAATGGAGCTAATCTGATAAACTGAAGATTACGAGTTCAAGCCCCGGTGCCCGGGGGACTTTTAACTTAGGCATTATTCCCCTGTCTTCTCCCTTGGCTGGAGAAAATCCATATAGCCGAATGACGAGGAAGGTGGAACAAAAAAAAAAAAGGACGAAATATTTAATTAAAGATCGAAATGGATAAACATAATGAAACAATACTCTTTTGATTTGAAATATATTTTATTTATTTTAAGGGGCACCACAGGTTTTTTTATTTGAGAACCTCAAAAATAATTCCATTCGAAATGTTTAAAAAAAAAAAGAAAATTAAAAACTGAAAATAAAACTGCCAAAAATCACTAATTTTTCTATTGTAATCAGAAAGTATTTCATATCTAAAATGTACTAGTAATATTCCGTTGCTCACAATAAAAAATAACTAGCTAGTTCTGTAGTTTTTATGAAATCACTGAATTTAAAATTAATTTTGTATTTCGCACTGAATAAATAAAATTGTAATTAATATCATTTAGTTAAATATAAAGAATAAAAAGTTATTTTATTTGTCTACTGGAGAAAACTAAATATTAAACAAGAAATAAATGAGAATTATGGCAGAGTTACTAAATCGTGTAGAGAGAAATGCGTGACCAATGTAGGCATCGACTTCTTATCTTGTTCATTTTTTTTAAATACGGGCATAAAACGGCAACGAACGACGGCTGTTCGTTATCATTTCGTGAGAACTATGAGTAGGCACAACCTTATACAGTTACTGTCTTTTAATTAATCCAAAAATCATAAATAAAATAGATAAATTAAAATTGCTGAGTTAAAGTATAGTTGCCGATTATATTGCCTAAATAGGATACATTTTCAGTTATGCTCAAAAAATTAAAAAAAAAAAACCAATCTATAATATAATATCTAATCCATTCTTCCGTTCTGAACTATAAAAAAAAATCGATTTTCCTATAATTTTATAAAATTATTATTTTCAGAGTCTCATTAAATCAATGATAAACAGCGCTATTTATCGAAGATGATGTGCCAATTGAAATATATATCGTCAATTTGAAATATATTCCATGAAATAGAATAGAGTTATTCAAGTAAAGAAAAACTTTAATATCGCCAACACAGAATACTGCTAGTGAATTTCGGATATGGCACTACCTGTGTCCAGAGATAGATGGATTAGGTAATCTTTTGGCGGCAATCAACTCCGGGTCTTAATAAAAAAACTTCAACCAAGGAAAGGAAGAACAAAGGAAAGGCTGTTAAATAAGGGAGTAGAAAATTTAGATTAAAATATTTTTGGAAAGAACAGACGACTCTGGGAGGGTTCCTTGAAGAAGGGAGAGAAATCTGTTAAATCCAGTGGAGAGGTCTGTTGGAGGTGCTCGTAAGGGAAGTTGAAAGTAGTGCCTTGCAAGAAAGGAAGAACTGCCTCGTTGGGAAAACACGAGACAGTCGAGAAGGTTCAGCGAGAGGACATTAACGGCATCAGAGATTCGGAAACTCAACCGTATTCTATAACTTACTAAACGATGGTATTCATTCAAAATCTGCACATGTAAATATGTGTTGGCACTCTATAAAATAGAAGAGATTAATCAAGCCCACATCAGCATCCTCAAATCAATATTCCCAGATATATTTATAATGTTTTAACTAAAAATAGATATGATTTTATTTTGAAGTTTTGCTTCCTCACTACCCAAGGTAGGGAAACAATGTATTCGTGCGATAGGTTAAAACGATTTTTGTGCTCAGAATCGAAAATTTCCACTCGCGTTTTACGTTTCAGACATAAAGGATCAAATTTGGTTCCGTGTCTGTTAATGGTTCCGATTTTCTCCTTAAATATCAAAGTTGTGTGAACTTCATAAATATTTTTATATTCCAGCTTAATTAATTTTGTTCTGTCTGAAGAAAACTATTGTTCTCATTAACTCCGCACAAACAAAAAGTTATATTTTTCCTATGAATCTTTTGTTTCATCCATTTTACTTAACATGCCTATTAAGTATATATATTACTACTGTTAGTACAAAAGATCGTATGTACAGATGGCCATGAAGTATGAAATTGTACTAATTAATCATAAAGATAAAAAATATTTAATCCTGAATTATCAAATATGCAATCTGCAAATTCAACTCTTTCACATTTTATTATTCGCTGATGAACAAAACTCGTGGATATCAAACCTGTATATGTTGCGGGATTATTGAATTTCCGAAAACAGCAACTCCTAGAGATTTTATTCTCATTAGAAAAACTGTATACTTTGTGGTAATATAGATATTTTTTTTATCCAATGAAAATGGTGAGGAAGCTATACTGACTTTATTTGCCAGATGCTTTTTTTCTACAATTCACCATTTAAATCAAATAGTTAATTGGAAACAGGACACCAATATATCAAGTGTTTCATAGCAGGGAGATCTGTAGTATCTGGCCTTCCTAATCCATATTAAGTATTTAATTAATATATTTTTTAATAGATTGGTTCACTAGAAAACCGGATTTTTTTTTTATGATTCAGATCCAATATAAATATATATAGTAGAAATATATTACATACAGTAAATCCCGTTTCTTTTACCCCCACTCACCTTATAAAAGCAATTAGTAAAAAAC